GACTCCTGTGGTTCAGTGAGAATATTGAATAGGTTTTTTCCCTTTAATTTGTTTTTAGAAATTTCCATACCGTCATACCCGAATCCTTGGCTTTTTACACCCTCTGCAGAGCAGCTCCACTCAGACGAGTAGAGCCTGAGTGTCCTCTTGGAGAGCAAATCGAGCGCCGCGCTTGCATGGGACGAGCACACACTTCAGGCTCTTTGCCTACAATTAAAACCCTAAGTACAAATATGAGTAGACGGTGTGATGAAAGATACACACAATATATTGAGACTCTTACCCACCTGCCAGAACAGCACAGATAACAGGTACAAGCCCCGAAAGAATCAAAGCAACGGAAAGTTACGGTGAAAGGGCCAGAAAGCCGGGCCAGATGCCAAATAGGTCTTCTTTTCAGTCTACACGTCAGATACTGAGCCCCAAATTACCACCAGTTTGTGATTGTGTGTAAGTGACGGCTTGATACGTAGATGGTAAATGGCAAGAAATCTTCAGGAATATAAAAGCACTATTGAAATAAAGTCAATTCACCATACACAAATAATCAGCAGGTACCAGATATGCCCAGACAGCTTCAAGAGTTAAGCTGTTAGGGGACCAAGGGAGCCGGTTTAGACGTGAGGTAATTCAAACATTCAGGGAAAGAGAGCTTGGAGTTATACAGCGATGCGGGCAGACAGTCTAAATAACTACAACCAACATCTTTTAAATACGGGTTCATAAAAGCATTGTGATACACATATATGGTTAACAGAACCGCTTATGAAACCTGTAGGCTACTTGCATGTCTCTGATAAAGATGAAGACAGAAAGGACTCGGGGTTTAGTTATGCTGATCACAGACGCCCTTCAAAATGTCAGCGCGCTCTGAGTGATTTGAAAGGCTGCAGATGAAGACAACAGCAAACAGCGCAGCCTGAAGAAAGGACGAGTGGTGGAGGAACACAGGGACATTGGGTAAATGTGAAGGTCCATCAAGGAAAATGAGAGAGGTGTGGAGGAGAGTGGGAGGAGGCAAACAAGAGTGAAAGTGGGCTGCGGACAAAACCAACCGAGGCCCCTTGTTAACCGGTCTTTAACCTTTGAACGCCACGATTAGAGTTTTTACGTGCAGGGCTTCTGCGGTTGAAGCGACTCAACGAGCTGCCCAGCTGCAGTGATGCACGAATAGGTTAAATCCATTCATTGCCAGCGGCAGTGTGCGCGCTAAACATGCCAACTGATGTCCCCAGTTCACCCGTTAGGGATTGTTAGCAGCCGCAAAGTTTGTGCGTGCGTTGTCGTGGAAACATGAAGCCACTTTAACAGTGAGTCTCCACCGCATCAATCAGCCTAGCTGCAAGGTTGTCAGTTGCCTGTGTCTCAGTCAGGGCCTCTGCCAGTATGTTGCAGGATTGCAAGCGTCTTTTGGAGACGGACAGCGTGTGTGATGATTAGTGTATAGATATAGTAATGTTTGAGCAGTGTGTGTAGCTGCGCAGTGTGTGGCTACACTTTATTTGTCGTGAATAAATTCTACATTTCCTCAACACTCAAGCCGAGTTTGCAACCAAGGCCCCCAGTAATAGTGCCGTGCTTTGAAGCCAATTTTGCATCGTGGAATTGCAATTTCTGCATCTTTAAAGTGATGCCATGGCTCCCAAAAAGAAAAGAAAGAGATGTAGCGGAACATATTAGATAATAGTTTTAAGCAGCCTATTGGTAGTTAGCAGTTAACATGCTACCAAACAGATCAACAATTATAGGTACAAGCTAATCTATATGCTATTTAATTGAACCAGCAACTTAACTCAAGTAATGATGTGTGCACTAGGCATCTCTCTCCAGCTGTCTGCAGGCTGTTGCCTGTGCACGAGCTGAGCGCCAGCTGTTGAAGTCTCTGACAATGCACTTTTGCATCCAGGTTTTTGTGTCATTTAGAGGGAAAATACGTGCACGTTAGTGTTTGAGTTGCGTTAAAAAGTTGGTGGAAGTGCCAAATATATTTTTAAATAGCTAAATCTGTTGCAAGGATCGGTTTGAAAAGTGGCCATGAGAGTCTGAAAAGTCTAGCAAAAAAGTCTAAAATCTAGCAACAAAGTTGCTACGTTGGCAACACTGAGCGAGGCCTCGCAGGCGGGGCCAAAGGGAACGCCGGTGCGCAGGTCTACGGAGCTCATAGTGTGGATGATCTGGGTGTTTTCATTCTTCCATTCTTTTGTTTATTTCCCAACTGAGCAGCTTACAAAGGAATGAATGTGACGCAGCCCTCAAGGCCGTGTCTAATTATCTTTATACAGCCACACCTTAAACTTAGGAGGGTGGTGTTAACCCCAAAGTCAGTAACAACTCGGAGTGAGCCTGACCTCAAAGGTGGACCAGATATATTAAGATTATTCAATTATTATCGCTGTAATAAAGAATGAAAAACCGTAATGCAATGAGTATAAAGGATGTGGGATCTACAAGAGTATTTATAAAAAAATGTAATAAATATAATTAAATAGAGATGATAAATTTAAACCATTATCATAATGGCTCTGGACATGGGCTCCTGTCATGGAGTTCTTTTTGGTTCTGTCTGTTTGTCAGAGGGAGATTTGATGTCTCCTGTATTAAAAATGCAGTTTGCTCTCGTATCGTATTGGGAGGTTCAGTGACTCTTAAATCACCCCTCAATGAGCTCTAAACGTACCTTGTTAGATTAAAAAACAAGAAGTTCCTGAAAGGCACATGACAGCAACACAATGGAGGTGACTTAGCAAATAGAAAAATGAATCCAATTAAAGTTAAATTGTATTAAAAATAAAAAGTTCCAGCTCTGATTGCGTTAGAAAATAAATGAGATGTGTGTGTGTGTGTGTGTGTGTCTGTGTGTGTGTCTGTGTGTGTGTGTGTGTGTGTGATGGAGAGAAGCAGGCAAATTAATATAACGGATGTTTGTTGGCTTATGGCGAGAAATGATTGTGTAAGGTCAGAAGTTTGACATTTACCGAGGCATACATCTTATCACTCGTAACGCACACACACACACACACACACACGCACACAAATGATTGCAGATTGTAGCGTCTCTTCTCGGCGAGTTCTTGACAGGGAGCCCGAGAAGTTTGATGTGCGTCTGCGATTCGGATCTACTTTCCATCAAACATTACTTATCGAGATTTGCATGAGCATTTCAGAGTGTGCAGCTTGAGATGCAAAACACATTTCTCAGTCCACGCAGACAGACAGACACACAGACACACACATGGGCTGGCAGATCTCCAACTTCATTTCAACAGCACTCTGGCAGACTGATTGAGTGATCAAAGCTAATCGCATTTAATCGTATCCAATCATGTAATAACCAGCACTGAGTGCTCAGGGCCTGACGAATCTACCCCGGTCCCCTCACTCACTCCTTGACCCCGGCTCCCCTCCTCATCCGCCCACCCACGACCCGTTCTCCTGTCTCACCCGTTCGCTCTCACTCAAACACTCGGCTGAGCAACCGAGGAGGGAGGTTTAGAAAGAGGGTGTCGAAAAAAGAGGAGCCCGTCGCGAATGAAGGAGACGGATGAAGCCCCTCTCCTTCCCACATGTGGTTCCTTAAGGAAGGAACAAGTTCTTCCCTCTGGCTGCGTGACTGAAAGCTTCGTCAGAACACCGAGAAGGGAACGACCTAGCAGTCGCTTCATCATCTTCATTGCAGTTTATATTCAGTAGAGGGTTTAAAAAGCTGCTGCTCTTAAGCCTCTGCTGGGTTTACTCGCTTCAAAAGATCCAGCTCGCTTTACATGCGGTTGTATGCGATTATAATTCCGTGTGATTATTAGCTGGCATTTAAGTTGTCTGCACACAGAATGTAGATATTCTCAGGGTATGATTTTTTTCTACCTGTTACGTGGGAGAGAGAGATCGCGCGGTTGTGACACTCTGGAAACCTTTTCTAAATGTTGTTTCAAGGTGAACACATAAAATCCTAGAAGCACCAACTCGATCTTGCACGACCGTAAGATAAAAGCTCCCCTGTTATCTCACACCGGCTCTCCGGTTTTCCTATTGCTCTGCTTCTCCATCCTGCTTCCCAACCTCATCTTTATTAAAGTAGAAAGTTGCTTTGATGCGTCCAAAAACCCGAAAACAAACAACTCTCACCTTGCAGTCAAATTGACCCCAGTGCGGTATTAGTATGCTGCAGACAACCTGCCTGATGGTCACAGAGCTTCTGAAACCCCTTTCTGACATCTGAATGTTATTGTTGTTTTTCAATTTTTGCTCTTTCCAAAACTTTAAAACCATACTGCAACATCATCATCCAACATCATGACTTTCCAGACTATTTATTTCATTTATTATTATTATTATTACTTTGAAGAGAGTAGTTTCAATTTGATGAGGTTTTTATGCTTTATGCTGGTCTGTCTTTGGGGTTGGTGCGCGTTGTGGATTTTGGAGGGGACAGATATTTGATTGAAGTCAAAAGAAATTAAAAAAGAATGGATCGTGTTTAATTTGATCAGACTTATCGGAGGCAGGCTGTGATTGAGATAACCGCCGCTCTGCTCCAAGTTGAAGCCTTCTACCAAATCTTCAAAGAGCGCCACAACGAGAGCAAAGCAAACATCTGTTACGTAACTCGCGAACCCCGAGACCTTTTGCCGCCATTTCATCCGATGAATCGCTTCTTCTCGAGTGCTCCGATTTCACTGTGCCAAAACTGAACAGATGCCTCCATCGAGTGCCGTGAAGAGCAAAACTAACTCGAGCAGGGTTCGTCGTTGAGCACCTCACTTGTGGCTCCGAACGAGCACAGATTGCCGTGCGTTACAGTGTGAGGCGGTTTAGATATTGTATCAGAGGCCTTCGCCGCTTGCCAAGCGGACTATCCAGGGAAGAGCTGTTGTAGCGTAAAACTTGTACCCACAAAATAACCCGAAGCTCGAGCCAAAGCCTCAGGTTTTTGGCGGCACACATTGAGATAGTAAACAAACAACCAAATAGATATCAGGGCATCTGTTTGTCTTCTTTCCCAGGATGCTTTGCTGCGGCTGGCAGCGGTTGTTGACGCGGGCTCACTGCGAGTGGCCCTTCGAGACAGCATACGGGAGCTGCTACCCAGCACGGTATTTGCACAGACACACACAAACTCCAAAGTTGCACAAACAGCCAAACAACATTTGATGTTTTCACAGTTCCTCACCTGGAAGGCAGAAAGCTTCCTGTTGGTATTCAGAGCAATTTGCTTTTGAAAAATGGATGAAGCTCATCACGCATCAATTTAATTAGAATGTGATCACAAATGAACGTGCCCGTACGTGTGTGTGTTTGCAGGAGTGTGTATGTGTCTACATGCTGGACGGTTTCTCCAGGCTGTTATCTGAAGACCCGCCACATGAACTGCCCCGGGAGGGAAAGATCAGGTGTGTAACCCTTTGTGTGTCTTTGTGTGCGTGTGATTGTGTACGCCGCAGAGGTTCTTGCAGTGGTAAAAGGAAGCGATGAAGAGGGAAACACAGGGACGTCTTTCTCCGTGTGACGAGCAGGTGTCACCTGAATTACCCGAGACGCTCGCCCAACACGGAGACGGGAGTCATCGTTAAGATGACTGGAGGAACTCCTCTGGGACTGTTGTCCTCTCTTTTTAACCACCTCTATTGCTCATTACCCCCCCTTCACCCTACCCGCCCCTTATTACACACTCCTTTATCTGACAAAGTCCTTCCCTCTCTTCACCTTTCATCCTTTCCACATTCCCACCTCACTGTGTCGGTCTGTCTCTTGTTGTCAGCTTCTTCTCTTCCCAAAGTGAAACAAGGCACAAGTAGCACTAAGCCGGCTCTGCCGACGGCTCGCCGTCAATCCCTCTCCCCACAGGAGCGTCAGAGGGCTAATAGCTGAGGTGAAGCTCCTGAGGTCCCTCAGTGAGACGCCGCGATCCGTTCCTCTCTTAAGTGCTCTCTGAAACTCTACAAAGCCCCGGCGCTGCTGTGACGGCTGTCCAGGCCGCGGCTAAAAACCAACACTACATAATAGATGGAACTGTCTGTCGGACAGGAGCCCCTCCTCCAGCACCTCGTCGCCACACAAATGCACACTCCCGCACACACAGAAGCGCAAAACGTATACAGGCGCTATGACGTAGCGTATGCACACACATGCAGGCTAGAGGTAACCGGGATGTTAAAAGAAAAAAAAAGCTACAGTGCACTTTGTCACTTTTTACCCTCCAATTCACCTGCTTATATAAGCCTGTTATCAGAACTGTGGCGCACACAAACACACACACACACACACACACAGACACACGATGGACCCATCCGGGCGGCAGAAGGCCTCTTTGTTTAAGCCTCATTCCAGCCCACTATCCGATACGTACAAGCCCTTTAACTGGACCAACAAACCAAAAGAGTTTCAATGATTGTTCATCCACTAAACGATTTGTTTTGGACATCACTGATAAATATGCACAATGCAGCTGCACAAATGTTAAAACAAACAGTTTCAGTCTCGGGGATCCCAGCTGACTTCGGCCAACGGATGTGTGACCCTCAGGCAGGTTGCCAAACTGTCACTGGGCGATAACATTGAGACGGGACAACTTTACCGGCTCATATTTCCACCTGTAGTCAGTTTAGAGTTTAGAACCACCGCACCAACCGTGCCACCACTTCATATGCAAATTGTTGATAGTTTGCTCAAATATGTAGAAGAAAAAATTGACAACCTGCTTCATGCAGAATTACTGCTATTCCCCCTCAGTGAAGCACAAATTAACTAAATATGGACAAACACACAGACTAATAACTATCACAGAGCCTTTGGGGCTTCTAAAGCCAGAGAGGAATTATTTCACACGCTGTTGATCATGTTGTTCTCGTTCCCTGACATCTGCGCAACTGTCGGGAGCGGCAGTGTTTCTCAATGATGGTTAACCATTTACGACAAATGGAGCCCATAGCGGCGGTTTAGGCAGGAACGTGAAGTTCATTTGCATCACTCAGATCAAATAATCATCAGCTGTTTCCTGTGAGTGCCAAATTCACACCCACATTTACTATATCTAATATTCAAATGGCTGTTGGAAAGCTCTAGTTGACAGCATACTGCAGCAATAATTCAATACACCACATATCGGACGTGTTAGGATAAATGGTATATAAAAGGTATGTCATAAGTGCAGATAAAAAAACAAATGGCATCATGCGGGGTGCTTTTTGGCCTTGGCTCGCCATAAACTGGCTTCCTGGTTGTGCAGAAAAGCTGCTTTGATTGAGGACATTACACAAACGTCAACTGTATTTGTAGCCATAGTGAACTGTGTGAGCTGCAACAAATGGACACTTTAACTCAATGCACCGTGCAGAGGCTTGGCGGCAATGGTTTGAGGGGATTTCTCCCGGGAGCATGTAATGGAAGGACTGCTGCTGCTGTATGTTTGTGTGTGTGTGTGTGTGTGTCTTCATCTCCTTATTCATTCATCCTTGTGTTTGGTTACCTAAGTGTGCATTGACGTGTGTATTCTGAGAGCAAACGTATGCGTCATTTGGCATTACTCCGTCCAGAATGAGCAAATGTCTCGCAAGACAGCTGCCGTCAATTAGTCGAACCGGATGAAGTTCATATAATTTCACAATGAAAAACAGCTCTTTTCAGACTTGTTTCGCTTTTTATCAATGGGCACTCTGTTTTTTATAATGCTCGTTACCGTTTTTCCATCTGCTCCAATTGTCTTCCAAGTCCCCTCTTCCTCCCTGTCTCACTCAGTTATCGCTTTTGTCAAACACGGGTCAAACTCAACTTATGTCTCCACTGTCTTAGGAGCGTCGCGGACCAGCTGAGGCGATGTCAGTGCGTCGGCCTCCCTGCGTCCGAACTGCCCGAGAAATACAGAACCTGCCTCGCGGCACCGTTACCGGCCCACAGAAGAGGTACGTGTGCTGTTTTCTCTCCACCTGCCCGCAGGGTGTAGAAACTGCTAGAATGACGCCGGCGGACAGAGAAATAGATCAGCGTCTAGAGTGAGTACGTGTGCTTGTTTGAGGAGCTAAGAGATGTGAGAGCGGGGGGGGTAAGAAGTAGTGAACAAGAGATGATGATTGCCGAAAGATAGGGATTGTGCTGCGCGGGCAAAGAAAATTGGACGGGACCGATTAGGGTCTGCGATGAGAAAAAAAAATGCAAGAACTTGAAAGGAGAGGATTGAATAGACTCTGCATTCCTCTTGAAATTAACATTGTATTGTGTAATCTACAAGACAGATAATAACCGTGAGGGATGCACAGTAATCACCCTAAAGTACACGTGCATGAGCACCATTTAACGATGTTGCAGAAGTGGTTAGTTGCGTGCCAAACACATCGTTGTGTTTACTGTGTAGCAGCGCTCACCTCAGAGATCAGATTTACTTTTTTCCATTAGATGTGCTGTCGCTATCCGCACTACACCCAAAAAAAAAAGAAAAAGAAAATAACAAGCAGTGTATTTCAAGCATGTTGGGGTTGTTTTTTTCCAATGTTCCCTTTTCCTCCACATTTCTGTTTAGTATTAGAACATGAAGGAATAACAAATGAGAGTGAGACAAGGTCGTGGAGGAAACTAAAGAAGGAGATGAATGGACCAAGAATGTGTTTTGTTTGAAACAATTTTTATTATTGTTTATTGGGGTTGTAAATGCTTTTCTTTCTGATTTTTTCTTTCCCTTAGCTGTTGTCATTCCTCTCTTGAACCAGGAGCGGGACACGGCCATCGCTGTCTTACTGGTGAGTCCATGCAACCAAGTGCAAGCAATGCAGTAAGAAATAAATGCAATTTAACGTTCCCAGCTCACACCACTACACTCTAAAAAATTTCACCGTAAATTAACAGTATTTTACTGGCAGCAAGGATGCCAGGAATTTACCATTATTTTACGGTATAATACCGTAAATGGTTTGTACACTATGTTACCGTAAAATGGATTACTGTATGTTATCGTAAATTTGAACAAAGTTCAGTTCGTTCAAATTTCAGTTTCTTACAATACAATTACTGTTTTTGTGTTATAAATGCCAGAATGTTACAGTTTACTTATAACCGTATACTTTTGCATTTAATTCCCCACAAATTAAAGAAAGACAACCAAACTCATTTCGGTCATAGTGGTTGGAGTTTATTAGATGCCTTTAAGACCAAAATGTTAGGCTTTTGTAACCAAGAACAAAACATTAAAATATGCCGCATGTATACAGTAATAAAAAATGAATCATAAAATCATTAGGAACAAACACTTTCAATTGACCGCAGCAAACGGCTGGCGTACTTAATCCCTCTGTAAAACAAAGCAAAATTAAATATTTAGAAACACTGTCATTGGTAAAATATTAAAATAACAAAGTTGAGGAAGACAATAAGATGTAAGGAAGGAGAATGTTAATCATGCTAGGCAAATAACACTTACCAACGTTACTTGGACAGACGAGGCAATGAGAAACTCCTCCGATGTTGAACTGCACAGGTGTTCTGGATGAACTGAGATTACGCGTCTGACGTCACGTTCAGGAGCAGTCGGTCACGATTAACACTCAAATGACTTTTAGGCAATGAACACTTTGAATAATACAAATATTTATAATCTTTACATTCCGGCCACTGAAACGACAGCGAAGGCGGCGCAGCAGCTGCACGCGTGCTGTGCAGCACAACGTTGGCGGTTTGAATCCTGGCTGCTCCCTGTGCCAAGTTGAAGTGTCCTTGAGAAAGACACCTAACCCCCAATTACTCCACATAAAATGATGTCAAACCATGGGCGTTTTGGATAAAAGTGACAGCTGCATGTATAGTAATGTCCTGTAAGTCAAAGTCATCATCGCATCTCATGAGATACTTTCTCATTATGGTGACTTACAGGACCTGTTTTTCAGTGACTGACATGGGCTTCCATACATTAACCTACAACAGATGTAGATGGATTGTGATTCACTGCACCTGTATGTGTAGTTCCACCACTTCATAAAATATATGCAACATGCAGTTGAATTACGGTAGTCTGCTATTGTAAATTGACAGCTTTAACTGTTTATTCATGACATTGGCCGTTAATTTACAAGCAAGGGATGGAAATTTAACTGTACGTTATAGTTATTATGACATACTGTAATATACCGTTAGAAATGCACCGTAAATTTACAGAAATTTGTTACAGTGTAGAATAAAACTCCAAATGTAAAGTCGACTGGACTGAAGTATCTGTGTGTGTTGCAGGTGGGCTGTAATCCACTATCGGATCAGGATGAAGTGCATCTTGACGTGCTGGAGAAACACGTAAGCTCTCTTTTTCTCAGTCTTTTATGGTAAAAAGGGTAAAAAATACAATCAAATAACACACAGCTTGGTAACAGTAGGACAGGTGGAATTTAATCTAAAGAAAGGCATCATTTTTGTTGTTTGATAATTCAATGAGAACCAAACATATAGATGGCCGGCCTCTGACAGACGCTGCACCCACAATTCACACAGCGATTACACAACAAAAGGTTGTATGGAAACACAAACAATTATTACAAAGTCACAACAATTTCATCACAGAAACAAGGTCAAATTTAATCACACATTACATTTTTTTCAAAGATCAGCAGTAATGTGTGTTTTGCATTACCCTGTTTAAGACAGGTCATGTTTACTTCCGGGGCCTGTTCATTTGTGTACGTTGGTTCTCTGAAGCATCAGACATCATTTAGTCTGAGGATTTTCTCTCCCAAATGTTCATTCAGCTCAACAGCTTGGTGCTTGTGTGTGTGTGTGTGTGTGTCTTTGCACACGTGCATATTGTCACAGGCCTCAGTGGCGTGCTCGCGAGTCCAGGCTCTTCAGACGTCCTACCAGAGGCCTCCTCTCAGTCCCTCTCCCATACAGTCCCACAATGCAATGCTGCACCTCCACGTCTCAGACCAGGACTACTGCGAACTGGACCGCAACATTCTGCAACTCTGTGGTATGCACACATAAATGGTTAACAACATTCATGAGGTCGTATTGAGTAAACCACCTCTCTCATACATTTTACATTTCCTACACCTCGTGTGTACAACACACAAACCTTTGAGGCAAACACAATCACACACACGGTCACGCTGGTATATTTGAGGTGAGGTATGTTAATGGAGTAAGCCCTTCTGGATAAAGAGCTCGTTGAATTTAGATGGACTCCATCAGTTGCACAAGGCTTGTGTGACAGCCCCTGTGTGAAAACACTGTTTAAAATATCATGCATAATGGAAGTGGACTTGCAAATGCTGCTCCTGTGCACATACACATTCATCAACATTGTTTTCTTCCTGGTAATTGTAAGCAAATTAGAGTCGGCTTCAGTCTCCTCCGTTTTTTTGCCTGCATCACCGTTCTGCTTCTGCGCCCGGCTCTTTTCTTGTGTCTTCATCTGCAGTGCAGACAGCCCTCAAACCCCTGTCGTGTCTTCATTATTAGTCCCTCTGTTGGCTCGTTCCCGTTCACCCTTCCCCGACCCCGCTGTCTCCATGCATCCCTCCCCGGATTGCTTCCCGTCCACCTGCGTACATGTTCTGCATTCCCCGTCTTCCCGAACGCCAGTCTGCCCTTGCTCCTCTCTGAGTTTGACTCCCTTCACTCTCTCTCTCTCTCTCCCTCCCTCTTCTCTTTCAGGTGAGCTCTTTGACCTTGATGCAGCCTCTCTCCAGCTCAAAGTCATCAATTATGTAAGTGGTGGAGATCCTCTATGCTCACTCGTGCACACACACACACACACACACACACACACAGAGTTAAAGACGTACAGGAAATGCAGAACGTGGAATCCTCCACTTCCTCCGGTCATTACCAATAATGCAAGCTTTTTAGCACGCAGTAGCCTCCCCATACTGTGTCACGTCCATATATCTTTATGACAGGCTCTCTGTAAAAAGGAGGGAGGCAGAGGTGAGAGGAAGAGGTGTAATGATTTATTGCAGTTAGGGAAAAGCTTCAAGGGAGAGAGAAGACAGGGAGTTATCAGCTATTCAGTGTGTGCAGAAACCTGACAACAATTGAAATGAATGGAATTATTCACTGATAAAGAAAATATGAGATAGAGACAGATAAAGCAAGAGGGAGGAGAGAGATCTGAAGGTTACAACGCATGAAAGGGACAAAGTCTCGGCCCAACAGCTACTGAGAGTCTTAATGGATGTACGTACTTGAAATTCTTTTTTTAATCCTACTTATTGTGCATGAAGGACTTGTTTTTAATTTTTTATTGGAATACATTTGTAAATCAGTACAAGTTAAGTCAGACTCTGCACATTAACAATCCAGGACATGACATGTATTGCGAGGATCTTATGGTTTTCTTTGTCCTGTGCAATATTTTACTGAATGTCCTTGTCATTGCCGCTATGTCAAAAAAAGAAAAAGTCATTTGAAAAAGGACCTGTTTCAACCATTTTATTGACCATACCATTAATTGATTAACTTGACGTCCAGTGATGGTTTTAATTAACAAAAAAGTGGCAAGACCGTAAATATTTAATGGCATGCAGAAAATATTAAAATGTGATTTAACAAATTCCATTCTCAGCTTAAGAAGTCCGTTGTTAAAGTGTTGACCTTTTTATTGAATTATGCTTAATTAAATGAATACTAATGCATAATCAGAACCCCCTTTCATTTTTCTAGTAATTTCACAGTTAGTAACAGTAATGTGTGTCTTTCACTGAGAGAGACTGCATACGGACACAAACTCTTTTATACAATTTGCTTTAGAAAAATCCTCTCCTTTTCAAAATCACCATCAATTCTCTATAAAAAATAGTCTAGATCTAGACAGCTATCACCCACCGACCTCCCCTGCTAATGTGTCTCTGGAGGACTCGATCAATGCACAACACTGGAGCCGGAGTGTGACCTCCTTAATCCTTCTGATTCCAAAAGGCTGCAGGGGTTGTTAAATTTATTTTCAATCGGACATGATTTGTTTCGCCTGTTTATTGTTGTCGTTGCAAAAAAGGAGTGAGAGGGAGGAGAGGAGGGAGGAGAGGAAGGAGGAGAGGAAGGAGGAAAGGGAGCGGGAGCTTCTGAGGAATTTGCCGGGAAGTACTTGGGGCAGCGCTCATGGGATTAACTGTATTTGGGGGGGGGAAAGGGTGGAGGGGTTTATTATCATGTGTGGTTGCAGCTTGTTGTGTGTTTGTATGTGATTGTGCAGTTTGTGCGCATGTTAAAGGCTTACGTGTGTGTCTGGGTGCGAGATATTTTGGCATCTGCTGTTGAATATATCAGTTTGCGGCTTGTTCTCTATCAGCTCAATAATGTGTGAGGAAACGCAGCTCTTGAGACATTGTAGGTGCAGGTGTGTGTGTGTGTGTTTGTGTGTGTGAATGAATGTTTTTCATCTCATATCACAGAAGACAACAACAAAACACAATTGTTTGCAACTCTGCATGTGTTGAGAACACACACATACACACTCTTTCTTTTAAATATACACACAAACTATATGTGACTGTGTCCTCGTGTTTATGGGATTTCATATTCAAAGAATGGTCTTGTGTGAGGATGTAAATTCACAAATGCTGATGTATTTTCTGTTATTTACAGAGTATGAATGTTTCGATCCCTTGTTAAGAGATAATCTTGAGGGAAATAATTCAGTATTATTGGGAAATTTATATGAAGTGAAATGTAAAGCAGTATACAAATCCTCTCCCAAAATCTCCAACCACGTTCCATATATTGTAGTATATAGACAATATAGAATAGATATAATACGTTTTCATTTACAATTTGACGTTGCTGCAGGACAATGAAGACGATCTTGAACTCTCGCCCCAGCCTAATTCCAGTCCTCTTCCACTGTCCACGGATTTCTAATCTCATTGTTCCACCTCCACTGTGCTGCAGAAGCACTTGCATTGACGCCTTAAAAACAATCTGACCGAGTCTGATAAAGAGAGTTTTTTTGTGATTGGATTTGTGTTTGTGTCGTCCTTCAGCTGCAGGAACAGACTCAGTCGCAGTGTTGTTGTTTGCTGCTGGTGTCCGAGGACAACCACCAGCTTTTCTGCCAGGTACATGCACACACACACACACACATGCACAAACAAATGCCATCTACTTACCTCTATTAAATGAGCTGCGACCTTTGACCTCTGTGACCTTTAGGTAGTTGGAGACAAAGTCCTAGAGGAGGAGATCAGCTTCCCGGTGAGCCGCAATGATTTATTCCAATGAAAAGCCTTTTATTTATACCGTTATTTGCATTTATTGGTTTGTTTGTGTTCATTGTTCTCTGTTAAGTAAATCCTGCCTTCATTCATTTTAATAGGCTTTCAGTAAAGTGTTGTAGCCCAGCCTTTGATACAATAGAATAAACTATATTTTTATATTTGATATCACTACCTTTGGGTCTCATTAAGTCTCCTGTCTTTCTCTATATCACTCTCCTTTTCTCACCTCTTTTCAGCTGATGTTCGGACGCTTTGGTCAGGTTGTCGAGAAGAAGAAGTCGATTACTCTTCAGGACATCAGTGTTGTAAGGAGACATTTTCTTCCTCAGCTGTCCGTCGCTCTACTCGGCCTCCATATTAAACATATATGTTCCGCCTTTCTTCCTCTCAGGAGGAGCGCAGGCAGCTCTCCAGCATGTTGGGCTGTGAGATCTCCTCCATGCTCTGCGTACCAGTGGCCAGCAGGGCCACCGGTCAAGTGGTGGCACTGGCGTGCGCCTTCAACAAGCGGGGTGGGCAGAGGTGAGATTTTTGTGAACACAAGATCACACTGAACCATTTCGTGCAGTAGTGGATTCACGGTGAAAACGGACATCTTGTTCAACCTCTTACCTTCCCTCTGAAATCACTTCAACTTGGGGACAGATGGCTTAATGCTGAAGTGTATTTAAAATACTGGGACGTCAGTGTGAGATGAGTTGTCTTTTTCCGTATTCCTGATGCACTGACTCGTGGTAGAGAGGATTAGCATTCAGCAGCATGCAGTGACGTCGGGACGGGTCGGCCTGATTGCTCATATTTGTCGAGTTTATAGCGGTGGGGAGTTTACGGCTGTTTACACAAGAATGTGCCGCATGCTTCCTCAGAAACGGATACCTTCACTTTCCTTGTCTGGCTGTGTGTGTGTGTGTGTGTGTGTGTGTGTGTGTGTGTGTGTGTGTGTAGCAATGCAGATGGCTATGTGATGATCTAGAGTCAGGTCATGAGTCTAACAGCGGGTTGCTTGGCTGCCTTGTTTGGCACCCTGTTTTGGCATGTGTGTGTGTGTGTGTGTGTGTGTGTGTGTGTGATGCTACTGCCGGGAGCAACGCTGCATGCTATCTACTGAATACAGAAGTCTCGAAAGATGTGCTCCAGCATTTGCTGTTTGTAAGAGGAACAATCTGTTAGTGCGGAGAAAAGTTTTTTGTTTTAGTTTCTGTCTATTTATCTATTCATCCATCCGGCCGTCAGGCAGCATGTCCAAGCGTATGTTGCGGGGAGGTTAATGTATTTCATATCTTTTTTCTCAGAAACAGACTTCATTGATATGCTTGTACAGTCCTCCTTTGCATGCTGCCTCTCTCCGTCTCTCTCTCTCTCAAGACTAAATCAGAGAGGGGATCATGTCCAATAATTTCTCCCCCTGCCAGTGGCACCGATGACAGAGCTGGCATCTCATTGCCATAGGAACAGCAGATTATGCATTACGGTCGCAACTGTGCATAAAAAGCGATCGCTTCTAGCACAATCATCGAGTTTTTAGTGGAGGCTTAAAGGTGCATCCCCTCGTGCGCATCGCATAATCATGAGCAGAAATTCTCTTGTTCACACATCGTGACCTCAGTGACTGGTCCATAACTCAGTTTTACGCGGTATGTGAATACACAGTAAAAAAAAGCACCAGAACCGACCAAGCGGCAGTCTGAAAATGTCAGGCTATATATGTTTTATCCTAAATATTAGTATTAGATGATGAATATGTAGTCGGCAGCAATGTAAGAAAGGTCATATTAGCTAGCTGTTCTATATAAGTCTCATACTGCCGTTTCCTTTGCTGTGTGTGTCCGACTGCGTCTGCTTGTCATTCTAGCTTTGGAAATTTGGACTTTTTTGTATCTCGACCAGCTGGTATCACAGAAAATGAATTTCGTGCCTGCTTTACTAGACTGAAGTATTAAAACTATGAACTTAATTGCCCTTAAATTAAGCTTCTTCTGGCTTTCTCCAGGCTTTGATCAAATCCTGCCTCCGTTTCGACGGAAGGGAAATAGAGCTTAACATCACGCAGGACTTCAACACAATAACGTGCCACTGCCCTCTTTAGGCGAAGCGAGGGGACTGCAGACAATTACCAGCATCACCGTGGTCACTGCGGATGCCGTCATTAGTCAGTCTTCATACGCCTGCTTAATGCTCCAAAGGAGGGAGACGAACCACAGATTGATTCTATCTGCAGCCCCTAACAGGGACTTAAGTGCTTCGTTTTACGCTCCAATTTTAGTCAATAACTATGCATCAGGCCTCAGTTGTAGAGCTGCAACTAATCACTATTTTTTATCATCAATAGATTTTTAACTACACAAAGCAGTGGTCATAAGGTCTTAAATTACTCAGTCGAGTTAAGTGCAGCGAAACTTGTTTTCCCTTTCAAGAGTAAAAGTACCTGTAAAACGAAATGGCTCCACAGAGACCTTTATCAGATTAAATGCAGGTTGATGAACTCGTGGAAATTTACCATCGAGTGTGTGTGTTGTGTGTGCGTGCGTTCGTGTGTGTGTGTGGGTGTGTGTGTGTGTGTGTGTGTGTGGGCCTTGTCCAATGCAGACACACAGAGGCAGATGAGCACGCGATCCAGCACTGTTTCTGCTACACTTCAACGGTCCTCACTTCGACTTTGGCTTTCCAGAAAGAACAAAAACTCAAAGTGGAGTGCCAGGTACATTGCACCAGCCCACACACACACACACACACACACACACACTCACACACTCACACATGTTGCATGCAAACATAAATATGCTTGAAATAAAAGCGCTTTTTTTGTCCATTGTTTTTCCGCACAGGCGCTTTTACAAGTGGCCAAGAACCTCTTCACACACTTGGGTAAGTTTCTGTCTCGCTGTGTTAAAAGCATGTCGTAGAACGATTCGCGGTAAAGTCCGTTTATTTATATATAATTATTTATATTAACTGATCACCTAGTAAAACGAATGGCGCGCGGAATTGAATGAGTTATTTCCGAAAAGGTGATTCCACCCAGGACCATAACCGTAAAACGAGAAGGGCATTAAGTGATGGCTCAACCTCTCTATTGTCCATTTGAGTCATTTAGATTCTAATCCAACAGCAAGCACCAAACTGCAGATTAAGCCAGCGATGATTCACCGTGATTGAAGGTGCAAAGAATTGATCCACTGGTAGAGCAAATTGCCCTCTCGCTGTACCAAACTGCTGATTAGAGAAGCTCTTATCAGCTTGTGCAGAAAACCCACAGCGACTCACTGTACAATCTATGTTCCCTGCCGTACGGGCCTTTTTTCCCTTTAATTTCCTCTTCTCTCCTTGTAATCCCCCCTTTCCCCCCTCTCTCTCTCTGCTTGTTTCAGATGATGTGTCAGTACTGTTACAGGAAATTATAGTGGAGGCCAGGAACCTCAGTGATGCAGAGATGTAAGCCCTCCTATTCATCTCCAAATGGGTGTTTTCACGCATGTTTGAAATAGTGTTTGTTCAGTGTGAATGTCTTTTCTCCATTTTAAAACAGCTATCACACTCAATTTCGTCTTAACCGCCAATTTTAACAACAGTTGCAAAAGGACCTGAGATGACGTGAGAGCCCTCCAACTCTCTCTCTCTCTCTCTCTCTCTCTCTCTCGCTGCCTCCAGTTGTTCGGTGTTCTTGCTCGATCGGGTCAGTCATGAGTTGGTGGCGAAGGTGTTTGACGGAGGCGTGGTTAGCGATGAGGAGGTAGGACACACAAGCATTCAGGCGCATGCACACACACACACACACACACACAGTATGGTGTCTGAAGTCTTTCCTGTGACCTTTTTGAGGAGAGATTTCATGTCTTTATTAACGAGTTGACAGTAAAGGAAACGGAATGGCATTTAACAAAGGTCCCCATCCAGAGCAGAGTGCTGGACGTCGTAAATACAACGTCACTGTCATCTCACTTACATTCGTTATGTTCTTGCCACACATATCTTCTCTAAGTCTCTAGATGATATGAGCCGTTGTGTGTGTGTGTGTGTGTGTGTGTGTGTGTGTGTGTGTGTGTGTGTGTGTGTGTGTGTGTGTGTGTGTGTGTGTGTGTGTGTGTGTGTGTGAGTGCAGAAGGAGTTTCGTATTCCAGCCGATCAGGGCATTGCAGGTCACGTGGCGACCACCGGTCAGATCTTGAACATAAAGGACGCCTACTCCCATCCTCTTTTCTACCGCGGCGTGGATGACAGCACCGGCTTCAAGACTCGCAACATCCTCTGCTTCCCCATCAAAGATGAAAACAACGGTACCAACCCCTCTTTCACTCAACATGCAGGGAGGGTCACAACTTTTCTTCTTTTGAACAATTGTTGTTCGGAAAGTTCATGCAATTTACAGGTAAAACATTTATCTGAATTACAGATTGGAGACAAGAAGACAAAGCTCATTGGACGGTTTCAGCTTAACAGTTTTTAATCTAATGTATAGAAATACAAAGTGGGGAAATCTTTAAAGGAAGGTACCCGGCTGCCCCTATAGAGTCCAGCAATGCCGTAGTTCATCTACCGATAATAGATAGTTTCATTATACTATTGGCAGTTGCTCCTTCAGTATCCTGTACAGCACGTACCTTTTCCTCCTCCACACACAGACTCTCTCAGAATAGCACAAAGAGATGTTACATCACATCCCTTTCTCTCCGATGTTACAGTGCATGAAGTGCAGGTTCAACCATCCTCAGTGTGCTCCATACTTAGACGACGCTTACTTTGATGCTGCGCCCTACTTCAGAAAAACTTCAGATTCTGTGGTTTGTGTCTGTATAGACGACTGTCAGATTGAGCCCTATTTGATTCAACATCTGTTCTTCACCTCTGTGCGCTGCATCCTCCCACCTTCACTCCGTATTCTTATTCACCATAATGTTTCTCTCTTTTCTTTCTTTAACTAATTGTCTCTCCCTCGATGTCTCACCGTCCTTTTCCTCTCCCCCTGCTTACTTCTGTCCTCTTTCACTCTCTGGATATCTTCCATCTTCTAGAGGTGATCGGGGTGGCTGAGTTGGTTAATAAAATGAACGGGCCGTGGTTCAACCGCTTCGACGAGGACCTGGCCACGGCTTTCTCCATCTACTGTGGAATCAGCATCGCTCATGTAAGTCCCCAGCTTCTGAAATAACCGACTCTTTGTAATCTAATGTTCTGACTTCTGACCGCTATATTGAATAGCCAGAAACAGCTGGTCAGGGACCAGCCATCGAACAGATTGCAGGATATTTATTAAATGTGACAATCCACCACGGAAACAAAATAAGCCAGCCGAAAACGCCAAGCAGAACCCGAGCAAATTAAGCATAAAGTACATAAACTACACAATTACTAGATGAACAGTATTACTTGCAAAGGAATTAACTTAATCGTCTCACATTATTATAGTAAGACTGCTTCAATCACTTTCTCTTATTATATCATAGCGGCAATGACAAGGCGTGAAAGATTAAACAGGTATAACTGCTGGATGTGTTACGCCACACATTCTCTTAGATTCTCACAGCAAACAATCTAATGTCGTAAACTCTTGTTTTGTAACGTAGCTCACAAGCTCACAAAATGAACGTTATGTAAAGTGATGCAATCCCTGCTCGTTCTACCCACCGTAACAATCCCTCATTTGGCTTGACAGCACGGCAGGAATAAAATAATAGTTGCAGTGTATCCGTCCTTACTCTCTTAAAACCGTGTGGTGGATCTTTTTGGTTCTGTCAGAGAGATCGATCCTGTCGGGCTAAATGGGATCCGTTCAGTGGGAGCACAATGCTCAGTGAAGCCTCGAGGGAAATTAAAGACATTCAGTCCCTGATGGAGCCGAGAGGGTTTTCATGGTGTAGTTCATAGGCCTTGGATGGCTGCTGCAAACCCACTGACTCAAAGACAATTGTGAGGATGGGCCGTTGTGTTACATTGTCACCGTTTTTATTGTTGTAAAAAATTTGTGATGGTCCAACTTTGTCATCATATTTCTCATCAACTTAAAAAAAAACCTAAGAATACCGTTGAGCAGTCTTGGAATCGATGAGACTTGCTAGATTTTCAATTGATTTAACATAATGTAAAGAAGGCTCTGTAATGAAATGAGTTCAAGCAGAGACCATAGACTAAGGAAGGAAGGAAAAGAGTCGATACAGAAAGTAAAGCTGTGGTGATATTTTATGCATCATTTCCAACCCACCTTCATATTAAGCAACTCATGCGGCGTTTGACCTTTGCATGACTGCAGGTCACTATAAGTACTTCATATATGAGCTAAAGATATTTGATTGGAAAAATAATTGCCTCCTGGTTGCTCATTAATCATTCACACAGGACAGCATGCATTATTTACCCACGCTCAATGTGTATCACCGTGTTGTGTATGCTGTGGGACACGAAACACGTTCAGCAGGATGATCTGTAATAAGCAAATCATTAGTCCTCCTTTTAAAACTAAGCTCTGATGGCTGCCAAGGATCGAACACCATAAATAAAACATAAGGAAACTGCTGTTTTACTGGGGCTGTAAGTGAACTGTACATAATATAGTAGCGGGTTGTATGTGAACTGAATAAACCGCGTGAGGTTACTATGACATGATGTTTGTTTCTCCAGTCTCTGCTCTACAAGAGAGTCCATGAAGCTCAGTTCAGGTCCCACCTGGCCAATGAGATGATGATGTACCATATGAAGGTGACATCACATTTGCACATCTCACTCACTCTCCCACTCGGACGCATTGTATTTACTGACACTGTCCATGTTATTTACTCAATATGATTCAGTATGTGTATGTTGCAGGTGTCAGAGGAAGAGGTGACGAAGCTGCTGGTAACGGGGATCGAACCCGTGCAGGAGATCCACCCCTGCTTTGCCGAATTCACATACACGCCCCGCTCCCTGCCGGACGACACCACGCCGCTGGTAAGAGACAAACGAGAAGGAGCGAGACTGAGGGGGATTGGAGGAGGGCAAAGAGAATGAACAAAATGTAACTGATGCTGTTGTGTGTGTCTGCAGTGCATCCTCAGCATGTTTGAAGACATGGGTTTCATCAACACATACAAGATTGACATGAACACTCTCGCCAGGTCTGACAAATCCATCACTTCATGTATTCGGTAGAAGAGCCCGTGTGTGTGAATGTGTCCTTTGGTTACTTTGAGTAAGCCTGCGATGATGAGTAGTTCCAGATTTGCTCATTTTTCACTCTTCCTACCTGTGATTCAGTTATTTCATCATTCGGTTGACTCTTATTCCATGATCGCAGTCTTGTCAGGTGCTTTGAAGTGTGTTGGAGTAAATTACTAAAATATTAGTACTCAATTGATTGGTAAAGCGGTAAAATTGATTGAATAAGTCAAATTATTCCTCAATCTTATGGCTGGGTATGTTCAGCATTTAGGAAAAATCTGTAATATGTTGACTGTTTTTTTGTTTGTCTGCATAGCTCATAAGGAAATGACTGTTATGCATTCTAATGAAAGTGTTTGGTGACAGGTTCTGTCTGATGGTGAAGAAAGGCTACAGGGACCCTCCCTACCACAACTGGATGCACGCCTTCTCTGTCTCACACTTCTGCTACCTGCTCTACAAAAACCTAGGGCTGTCCAACTACCTCGAGTATGTACATACTAGTACATACATCCCCACAGGGACAGAAGTAGCCAAACGCGTAGTTGTTTCTGACTATAATGCTCCTTCTGTCCTCTTCTTAGGGAAATAGAGATTCTGGCTCTCTTTGTCTCCTGTATGTGCCATGACCTGGACCACCGTGGCACCAACAATTCTTTCCAAGTCGCCTCAGTGAGAACACAAATTATGTTTACGTTCATGTTGTATTTATTTTCTTCTTTAGCCTTTAATTATACCGATTTTAAATATCTGTCCTAGACTTAAAAACCAAACAGCAAAATGTTGAGGAAAAAAAGAGAAAAAATGCACATAAAAGGGACCAATAACAGACTTAAACAAAGAGCAAATTGATTCAACTAATTAATTAGAAGCATGATTTAATTTTATGTAACATTCACGTTCAGTCTTCAAATTGTCCTTCAGCCTTTTCTTTTTAACAATCTTTCATTCTTATGAAACAATTCATTTCAAAGTGTTTCTGTCGCTCTCAAAAATGAGGGTTCAAAATCATTTTCCCCATAGAGGATGCAGATTTGAGGAACAACATACATAATTTATGTATGATTTAAACGTCAGAAAAGGACATACATAAGGAGGTAGATTCTTCCTTATGAAGAAGCATCGACCGATGTCCCATTCCATGGCTGCACAAATAGGGCAAACCAACCTTCTCCTTCACACTGCAATGGTAAAAAGAAAGGTAAAATGGAAGCATGATATATTCAACCATGTCAAAGAAGACTCGTGTTTATTACAGAGAATAAAGCTCTCGGATGGAGTGCAGCAGAGTAGCATTGCACCTGCATTTTAAAAAGAAGACTATAAATTGACTTTTGATTAGATTCGGAGGATAGAGAATATCAATAAAGGTTCATGGAGGTATCAGAGTCTGTGCATCTCCCCATCTGGGAATTTTCCCAGTGAGACATTAGATGTCTTTGTGATTAGAAGCATATTCTTCTTCTACACTTTCACCGTCGATAATCAATATAACCCTGCAGCACCTAAATGACGCACAAACTCTTGTTATGCAACACAGCACACAATTTGTCATTTTCGTATGTGGATTTATATTCCCTCTGATCCACATTCAAGCTGACAAGTACGGTTTTGAGGGAAGGATTTATGTTTCATTTGGATCAATATGATTATTATATAATTGATATGGAATGTGTTTCTCTTGTCTGTTTCTATTTGCAGCAATCCGTGCTGGCCGCTCTATACAGCTCCGAAGGATCTGTGATGGAGGTAAACCAGCACCCAGTTACATCACATCACATGTGGGAGAGCAGGCTGCAAATCAGATCTATAACAACATGATGGATCTGAGTCTATATTGATTTGCATTCCACGTACAGGCTCTGTTCAGTTCTGCCATACATCGTAACATTGAATTGGAGTTAATTAGGGAATAGTCAAAGGTTGTTTTACTGCATTATTTTGTCCTTCCTCACTGTGAAGGGGGCAGAATATTTGAAGCACCTCTGCGTATTATGCAGTCCACACTCCTACTAAGTATGACATAAAGGCCAATAAGTACATCATGATTTGCACACTAAAACATATCATTTGCCATATTTATTTGTTCCTGCCTTGTCGGTGCTGTTCTTTCTGTTTGATCTGCTAATATTTTTTTTTACAGCTGCGACACTCGGTGGCCAAATTCAAAGATAAATACCTTGCAGCAGTGAAGAGGCACTGGGCCATATAAAGTACATATAAATCTGTAAACATACTTCCCATAGAAGCTGCATTCATTCCTCTTCCTGTCATGCTTTATTATCTGTTTATGGCAGAGACATCACTTTGCCCAGGCCATCGCCATTCTGAACACTCACGGCTGCAACATCTTTGATAAGTTCAACAGGAAGGTAAGACACCAAAACACATTTACACGTTACAAATCTGCTGCATTCTGCTTTCCCTGTGTGTGAAAGGTGATTACTTTACCTTTCTTTCTTCTTCTTAGGACTACACTCGCATGCTGGATTTGATCAGAGACGTCATTCTTGCAACAGACCTGGCTCACCACCTTCGCATTTTCAAGGACTTGCAGAAGATGGCCGATGGTACGTACGCAGCAGTAGTTTAGTATGCGCAGCCACATCGCTTCCTTTGCTCGAGACTCACAACCCGCACAGAGAGGTTTGGAAAGCATTAAGTATATAATCAATGATAAACATAAAGACATACACATATACATACATATATATGTATTCTGCTGACTGCTTTTCATAGCACCTAACAAAAGCCATGCACAGATTCCGTTTGTTTAAATTATTTTTCAGAGATTAAAGGTCAAATTTTGAGCATTCAGCACTGACTTTCTTTGTGATTCTCTTTTATTGAACTCTTAACCCTTTTGAAGAGAACCTTTCTCTATTCTCCTATAAAGTAATTGGCTTTAATCGGCCGGTGATTTGTTTTAACTGAATGCAACCAATTATAGGTTATCCCGGGTGGATGTCTCCTCGGCCTCCTCGGTGGAATCAGTTGCATGCTGTTTGAGTAATTAAAGGACATTAAAAGCTTTCTAAATTAGTTAGTGATTGCCTTGCACCACAGTGTGGGACTTGTCAATGACGGACAAAAAATGTTTGACGAACACAGAATGGAAATGTTACCGCTACCGTTGATTTTGCTTACAGGGCATTAAAATACAGAAAATAAAAGACAATGTTAAGCAGTAATTTCAGACTAGAAAAGCGAACATTGTTTTGCATGTGTTCGTTCCAGACGGATACAACCGAAAGAACCGGAACCATCGCTCCATGCTGCTGTGCCTGTTGATGACGTCGTGCGACCTGTCGGACCAAACCAAGGGCTGGAAAACCACACGCAAGATTGCTGTCAGTTCACAGTCTAAACCGCTCACTGCATTCAAACAGCCCGCCTAAAGTCCAAACTAGTTGATTTCATACAGTTTATTAGTTGACGCGTAGTGTAGAAGCTCCTATTTTCGGCAGATTTCCAATTACCTCTATCTATACACTAAAACCTTTCCTTGACAGTGGAGATGATGCGATTGGAATCTATATAGCTGGAGACAGCCTCTCTATCTATATTATATTGTTTTCTATCCTGTGATAAACAGCACTTTCTACAAGGATTATGTTTAATCTGGCAATGGCCTGGTTTGTGTTGGTCTCGGTTGGTGCATTATATTCCCACTGGTCAGAAAATGTTCAGGGATTAATAGAAAAATAGCAATCACACCAAGTGCTGAAATGTCATACAGGGGAATGATGTTTATCTTGGATTACATAATTCTCGGGATTCAGCATTGTCTAATCAAGTAATGTTTGCAAAAATGAGAAACTAACAACACAAACAGATTTGCATCAAATATGGAATTATAGTATTACATAGTATATATAATACAACATTTTTGGAAAATATTGAACAGACTGTTGGATTGTTCCAAAAAGCAATATTCCTGTAGGAAGGAAAATTACATTTTTTGTCATAAATAAGTTATAGTAAACATGTGATTATTAACAATATGAGCCATAAAAAGTGTCTGCCTTTTTGTGTCCACAGGAGCTGATTTATAAAGAGTTCTTCTCTCAAGGAGATCTGGTATGTGTCAGTGTACAGTGGCTATTAAATGGCATGTGAAATATTTAAGTGTGTCATTCTACACAATGCAGTGGTCGGTACTCATGTTTGTCTGTATTGTGTGTATGTGCAGGAAAAAGCCATGGGGAACAGACCCAGTGAGATGATGGACAGAGAGAAAGCGTACATCCCTGAGCTGCAGATAAGCTTCATGGAACATATCGCCATGCCCATTTACAAGTGAGTACACAAGCTCTAAACAACACAACATTACATTCCTCCTAATCTGACCCCTTTGGGCACATACTGTAGCACGTTGTCCTGCATACATTGCAAGAACGTAAGACAGGGAGAGAGTTAGAACGTGTCAAGGAATCTTTTCTCTATGTTCACCAAGAAATCAAGAACTTTTAACATTAACATTTTGCTGGTTCAGCATTAATAAAGCCGCAAACAACTGATGTGTGTGGGTTGTTTGCTGTGAAAAGCACCAGATTCGTGGAGCTGTACAGAATATTTCAGCATCTTTTAGTTCAGTGTTTTGATTGGTTCATTCTGTTGGCTTTAGTATTTGGATTGGCTTTCAATAGCTATATTTTATTTTCCCAAAACAGCAGACAGACAAAGCTAGCGACTACTTTGTTAGCGCGGTGTTGCATTCAGCGACCAGATATTTCATAAAGGACAGATAATGAATATTGATGTGATATTAGTCAGATGGCCAGAAACAATGACTCCAAAATTATTATCTGCTCGAAGCATAAGAAGTGGATTTTTAACATAATCTAAATGTTGCGTTTGCAGCCTATTGAAGATTAATAAAATAAAATGCTCTACGCTGCCAAAGAAGTCCAAGAAAGATATAATGGATTAGCGTTTTTATCCAACCTTTTTGTTTAACTAAACTTCAATAGCTCAAAACTGCTGTCTGTCCCTCCAGGCTCCTGTCTGAGCTGTTACCCGGGGCGACTGAGCTGTATGAGAGAGTGGCGGCAAACCGGGAGCAGTGGACCAAAGTGTCCCACAAGTTCACCATCCGCGGGTTGCCTAGCAACAACAGCCTAGACTTCCTGGACCAGGAATACGAGCTGCTGCAGTCCCAGGGCGCTTTCGGGAGCGACGACCACTGCCTCAATGGTTGCCTTGACGATGCAGAAGGAGGGAGGGCCCAGTGACATCAGCGGACTGCTGGCGGTTTCTCAAAGTTTTGCGTGGTCCAATAAGAGGCTGAAGATACCTTTTTCGTGACCTAAGAGGGAGGGATCTCTCTGCTGTCAATCACTTAGATGCTTAGCAGGCAATGCAGAACGGACAGGACAAAGTTTCAAACTAACTGAATTTGACAAGTGATTTGGAACAAGTGGATCCATCTGACCCGGTTGAGGGATTAGATGCCACACGTTGCTTGTGTCTCCAGTTCAGGAAAGCAGAAGGTAGTGACTTTTATCTTTTTCAGCAGCCATACTGGAAAAATAGGTTTTTAACCACAAGTTACACGTTCATTCATACAGTACTGATCTTGATTACGATTGTAAAAACACACATACATACAAACACACACACAGACACACAAATGAACACGCACATACTGTTTAGACACTCAACAGAGAGAGAGAGAGAGAGAGAGAGAGAGAGAGAGAGATAAAAACAATTCTTATGGAAAAGAGAAAACTTCAACTTCATGTAACAGTGAGATAAAGTGCTATTTACTGTCTGTAAAATGTTTCATAAATGCTTATATTGATTTCAATGGCTCACCTTTGTTCACACACAAGCAGCTGCCATAGTCCCTCATCTGATGCTTATGAATGCATGTTATCTGGACACCTCATGTACTATTCCTTTTATCTACGTTAAGTGTCGGTTTCTCCACGGCTAAGAAATCCATGCGGCCCCTTTTTATACCATCGTGATTTTTTTTTCCCGGCTCTTTAAAGATACATTTGATTAATTTATCGTTCCACAAGGGTGATTTAGTTAATTTACTTACACAGCCTTATAACCCTTGTGTGTATTCATTTACTTGTCCTCATGGGAAAGTTTAAGGGACAAATTGACAATCACTGATCAATTAGTCACAGATCCCTTGCCATAATACCCCCCTCACACACCTGGTTCACAATAGCTGCTTGTCACTGCAAGTATGCAGTATGCATGTAACCCTCAATCAAAGGTCCCCCATGACCTAAAACGCACACCCACTGTTTATTTTTCTCTGACATCCTTCTTACTCCCCTTCTCCAATTCCACTTCCTTTTACTTCCTTTAGTTTTATGATGTCATCATAAACCACTTTAGACCGAGAGCAACCGAAGCCCTTTAAAAGATCCATCTCATCTGTAAGTGTAAACGTGCCCGAGTAGAGCGTGTTATATGGAGTGTGTCATTGAGTGTGTCATATGGATCTGCCTTATTGCGCATCTTTGCTGCCTTTCTTAGAGCTTTTAATATATGAAAATTGAAATAAAGAGTCTGTTTAGTACGTATGTTGTATATTTGTTTAGACATAGTATGAGTATCAATGTGGTGAATGAATGATCACAATGCTCAAAAGATGTACATTTGTGAAATACCCGTGTGAAGACCTCCGATGTCATGCTCACTTCTTTGTATTTTAAGTTATAAATACTGTAAAACAACCAGTGGATATTAGGCAGACACAACATGATTTGTATGTTTTCAATGTACCCAAAAATTGTTTTACTAGAGAACTAGAGATGTAGCCATTATCGATATTACTATAGCATCAACGGTTCACTATTGCTGCACCCCAAAGGGCACGACAATTAGAGTTAAATCCTCAGATTGTACCTCATATAAAAGGGGAGGGGGAACGCTGGGTGTTGTGTCTCAGTATGCCAAGTTCAGTTTTACTTTATAGGAAATGCTGCAGAGCGGGGTAAGGTAACCAAGGAGTAGTTACACAAAGAGAAATTTCTGTAATGCACAGAACTACTGAAGTGTGTAGACCCTGTGGAGGGTTGAGATTGAGTGAGCAAATGAGTGGATGAATAAGTGGGTAAGTAGATGAGAGAGAGGGAGCAAGAGAGAGAGAGAGAGGACTTGAGGTAGTTGAGATCAAGAAGGGGACGTTGAGTATAACTGCTCTTTACAAAGCTGTTGTTGATGCTCACGGTGCAAACACAAACATCCTGCCAAATTTCTCGAAATGAAAATATTGCAATCTTAGTATTTAAATATAGCATTGTGTTTGTCAGGGTCTCCTGAAGCCACGTGCTAACCAAATAACTTTCCCCCTTGATGCAAAGTGGTTTGATTGATGTGCTATAGATCGGGATATACATCTGGGTTTGACCACTTGATCTGCCTTGGTCTGCTTAATGGACAGATTATTTTTTACAATAAATTTCTTAAAAGTCGTACCGATACATTTGTTGACTCTCTCTCTATTTCTCAAGCTCTTTCTCCCACACGTGGCTTCTCCACTCCTGTTTTAACCGTATCTCCTGTTTCATATGTACTTGCCTTTTTCATGTGCAAAATGAAGCGTCTGCCTCTGTAATGTAAATACCAATGCCTCTTGTTGAATGATTATTACGTATGAGTTTCCAAAGGCATTTAGGTGTTAAATCACAATGTTTCCATGGAAAACAAAGAATGGCTGTGACCCTTTTGAATCTGAACTGCTTTTGACGGTCCAGACCCAGGACCGTCGTCTTTACTGAGTATGCATCTGTCCCTTTTTGTTTTAGAGAGTCCGAGTTAAATGTGCCAAGCCAAAATTGTCTATTTCCTGGCCAAGCTGCAAGGTGAAAACTGGCATACCTTAAATGACTTGTGTTATCTAATGTTGGAGGGAAGTCGAGGGCTGTGCTTCATTATAAAACTTTCTGATGCATCTTAAACGGTCTAAATTGCAGCTCATTCAGGAAGTGTAAATCCAATGTATTTCCCATCGTCACAGCAGGACTTTAATCTGTGTTGAAAATGAAAAAACACCTGTGGCATAATGATTAAAAGTGACAAAAATATGTTTGCTGTAATTATCAATTTTTAAAAAACAAAAACGTTACTTAATTGTCTGCCATTACTACAGTGGGAACTATTTCAATTGTGTAATGTATTTAAAATGGATGCATCCTTTTCTCTTTTTTTCATACCATTTTTGATCAACCCCAAGCTTAAACTCTTAGATAAAGGCAATGGAAGAAAAACATATATATGTATTGAGGTTAAACATGTAATTTTCTACGACAAATAAGAACCCAAATTAATCTGAAATGTATACATGATGCTTTTACTGAGGTATAAATCCTGTCATCTGTTAATTCATTTGTTTTTTTAGTTCTGAGTGCCGGTGGTCTTGTTCTTCTTCAGATGTAATGAACAAGAACATTATGGATGGAATGTTGAGATCTTTTCTTTCTTTCTTGGAATAAATCTGATGAAAGGCTTCTTGCTGTTTCTAAAACTACACACAACACACAATGTAATTCAACGTACCTGTACACTGTGTTCTAATGAATTCATCATAGTGGCAGCTCTTTTGATCCTTTTGGCCTGTCTCACAAACTGATTTGTGACTGAGTGTATAAGCATGGTCCAATTAACACACTGAGGGTGCTGCTACAAAAACCTCTGCCTACAGCAAACAGCAAAACCTCCCCTCTACATACTGCATGTACCTCATGTGCATGTATTTGAATTTAAACTATCATAACTAGAATCTAAAGCTTTTCTGATGATTAGGCTACGCTGGAGACATGCCGACATTAGATTTTGCCTATAATATAGTCTTTTAGGTCATGCAACCAAATACTTGCTGTAAAGGTAATGCGTCAAACACAATTTTGTTTGGGAATATACATTACTTAATAGTTTGACAGAATAGTCTTATTTTCATACCCATACCCTATTTAAACAAATCAACCAAATGGAGTTGAAGAAAACTCAAACTAAATAAAGCAATTTTACTGAAAGCATTTGGTTACCCAATTAAAATCAGACATTAACAATAACCTTACATTATGCAGTCACAACCAGACCTGGCTATTACCATTTTATATTAGAAATTCAAAATTAGGCTAAGACTGTTCATCCCCTAAAAAGCCAATAATTCCCAAACAAACTGCAGAAACGAATGAGTCCTAATGACCAAGAGGTGCAGCTGAAGAGGATTTCATCCAGCTGGTCCAAACACTGAGACGCAGTGCATGGCTCAAACCAACTCAATCTCACCAAATTAAGCTGCATATAATAGAGAGTAAAACACAAGTGAATCAGAGTGGTGGACTTCCTACCAGCAATTATCTGACCGCTGCAGATAAATATAATAGAACAGAATGCAAATTCAGACATTTTAATAAGTTGATACATTTAAAAATAGTACTTAAAGGAGTTTTTAACAAGATGTAGTCTACTTAAAGTGTCAAAATAAGACATATTATGCAGAATAGTCCTTGACAGTTGTTATTGAGACATTAACATACAAGCAGTAAGACACTTTAATTTTGCAAGTGATGGGGGTGGAGGCAATTTCAGGGCATAGTATAAACCATCATCATCATACGTGTTGCATGCTGAATGTTAACATCAAGTATGCCTTTTCAATTCAGAGTTACAGGTCAAATAATAAATATTTATCATTCTGGTACAGGTGCAAGTCACATCGAGAGAAAACTGTTCTCTACTTTCTCGCGGGACTTGGAGTGCGCGAGCTCTGCGCCACGAGAACTGCAGGTAGTCCGCCATCGCTGCGTGAACTATCGGATGTGGCGTTTGGCTGTCAACATTAAACTTACGGTGCCCGGGACGCGGAGCTACGAGGTCGAGTGAAAGCTCGTCGGGCGCTCCGTTAAAACCAGCAGGCACCCCTACCCCCCTATCCAACCCCCTTCCCTCTGTCCTCTCCCCCGAAAAAAACACCACTTTCATGTGAATACCGAGCCCACCGGACGAGGCAACCATGTCCAATCTCAGCAAAAGCGGCACCAAGAAGGACACCAAAATGAGGATAAGGGCCTTTCCTGTAAGTACACACCGCAGTGGATGCTCCGCCGGCCCGCTGGGCTGGTGGGGGGGACGACTCGATCACCGTGGTCCCGGCTACTAGCTAACTGTTAGCTAACGGCTAGCTGGCTAACCAGCTGAGCAGCACATAGAACTTGCCTATCCGTAAACATAGTGCGGCAGCCGACGGGGGTCAGGGGTCACGACTCCCGCTCGGCCGGATCGGTGGGCTGCTCGGGCATTTTACCCGCAAAAGCGGGAGGTTGTGTTAATGTCGTTCCTTGTGTTTTTAGCGTTTAACTGCCGAAACTCGTAGCTAGCAGATTGCATCGGTCGACATAGCCGGTGCTAGCTTTAGCACTGACTCTTGACACTTGTTGTCTTCACTGGTTTTCGTTTTGCTTCATCGAAGTGCATCACGTGTTCGCCGCTGAGCTCTATGCTCTGATGACTTCATTGCAACACAATGACAGCTAACATCCCCAACTGTGCGTGAGCGCAAACCACCGCTGTAGATGGAGTCTTGAAGCACAAATCGGCTAACGCAGCGTTTGTTTTCAGATACATAAATAGCCCGATCATCGGGAGATCTGAGTCTTTTGATTGTTTGGTTGTACGTTGTCTAAATATTGATTTAGGAGTCTTGTCGCCGTCCGCCTGGCACTCCCTTTGTCTGCAAGTCACTGATAAACCCTAATTTATGAACTGACCTCATTCTGCTTAAATTGACAGTTCAGTGAAACCGACACTGCTTTTGTTACATTACATTACAGGTCATTTAGCAGACGCTTTTTATCCAAAGCGACTTACATTACACTTTAAACCCGTGGCTTTTTCACATTTTTGCCCGGGGAGCAATTAGGGGTTAGGTGTCTTGCTCAGGGACACTTTGACATGGAACATGGGGCAGCCTGGAATCGAACCACCAACCTTGTGCTTCCCAGCACACCTTCTCTAACCCCTGCGCCACGACGACCCCACGTTGTTACTCCTCTAAAAGTAATTGAGCCGTTTTCAATTGTGTGTCCGGGGAACACAGATGTTTGTGTTACTGCAGAGGAAATCCCTGTGAAGCAGTAACTGCTTGTAACCCGTAACCTATATAATAAAAGCCTTCTAATATTCTATAGACATTCGCATATATCCCATTTAATGGTTCATCCATAACTCCAGTCCATCTGCACCGTGATGCTTCATCAGCTTCATGAATCGTCTAATTCAACATATTACCCGCTGCCCTTTTCAGATGACCATGGACGAGAAGTATGTCAACAACATTTGGGACCTTCTGAAGAATGCCATCCAGGAGATTCAGCGGAAGAACAACAGCGGCCTGAGCTTCGAGGAACTGTACAGGAACGCCTACACAATGGTCCTTCACAAACACGGAGAGAAGCTGTACACGGGCCTGCGGGAGGTCGTCACCGAACACCTTATCAACAAAGTAAGAGTTGCACTGATTGCGTTTGTAGAAACATCAGGTGGTATTTTGTGGTATTTTGAGATTACTAAGACAAGGTCATTCCTCTGGTTGTAAACACACCAAGAGTTCTTCAAACTTTCTTAAAATCATTTTTTTCAGCAAGCACAGAGAGGTGCACGTCTTCAGCTTGGTTGACCCATGAAGTCAACTGTTGACTCATTGATTACAAAAAAAGGAACTAACACGTGTGTGTGTGTGTGTATATAGATACGTAATTACATATTGGTTCAAATCTTTAGTTAGAGATGATGCTGTGAAAATCTACGACTAGATCTCTTTCATAATTGCTGAAGTTATAGTTGATACACTAACAGTTCGAGTAGCAATGATAATGGACGTGTGATCCATCATGTAGGTTAAAGCCTGTTTTTAGTAGCTTACCTTTGCTGAACAGAATCTATCATAGGCTCCATATTAACATTCACAATACTGCCTAGCCTGCGTGTCGTCCTCGCAAAACTAATGTCACACCAGATGAGATGAGGTGTTACCATTCACGACCGACTTCTTGCTCTCGTCTTCTACGATGGTAGAAGCCCATTCTGTCTGTGACCGGCTAGGAAAGGACTCACACATGTGGATGGAGCGCTTCAGTTGTGATGTTGTGTTCAGCCGCATGAGGCTGGTCATGCTGGCCTTTCATGAAACTGGTTTTGTCTTTGGCGGTGAATTTATAGACATCTCAAATGTATGTTTCCAAACTACTGCTGATTATTTAAACAACCTTTCAATTAATGTTTTCCCCATTTATTTGTTTTTTTATGTTGCACATAATTAGTAACAAATTACGCTTGGCAATGATATCAGTAGGGAATGCTTCTGTGCAGCGTGCACTGAGCAGACACCCGACGAGCAATATTTCAGCTGTTGAATAGCAGCCAGTTGGTTTAACAGCCTAATTAAATGTACATTCGCAAGTTTGCAGGTTGAATAAATTAGCTTGCAGCAGTTGAAAGACGAGCGAGTCGACACTTCGGCATGTTTTTACACCGTTAGCTCAGACACTGCCATCAAACTACATTATGGAAATAACTCGAAGATAATGATGACATCTCAACCTTTAGATATACGTTAAGCTTGTTCCGATGCGACAGCCACTGTAGTTACAGTCGGATTATAAGGCCTTTTAATTGCATTAAGAATTCTTGAGCAAAGGATTTGGGGAAGATAAATGTCTTCAAACAATGAAAAATAAAAAATAAATAATAAACTCAAATTTCTGCTGAGCAGAACAGCCGACACAAGAGGTGACAGATATAATTCCCATCATTTGATCGAGGCTGGCGGGGAGCTTAATCCTACCCAATTTCAGGCATATGATAAAACATATGAAGTCTGTCTTTCTGCAAAACTTTCCAATTTGAAGGACCAGCAGCATTAGACATTTGCAGCACAGAAGAACATACACTTCATGTTATCGGCACTGTGCAACAATACTGAGCTTATAAGTAAATCATTAGTGTGCATAACGAGTCTTTGATTTAAAGGCTTATTCAGATTAATGGGTTTGCTTCCCCCTTGCACCTCTTCATTGGCCCTGGCTGTAAATAGAGAGGCTAGTGAGTCTGTGAGGGTCGATCATGTTTATTACTAACAGCAGAGGTTATAATTCATCATCTGTCGGCCTGGGAGGTCGGTGTGCCCTGAAGAATCTCACTCTACTTTTTCTATGCTGAGTCACGCTGCAGTTTGACTACTATCAAGCTGTTGTACGCCAGACTCGTGGAGAAAAGGTTTTAAACAAGCAGCAAAGGAGGGTCACCTTAAAAGACTGCATCAACAAAAACAACAACAAAAATGAAGTGTCAGCTTGATACAAGAGCATTTTTTTTCTCTTCACCGGGCAGTTTTCAAGTTTTTTGCCTTTGCTCAGGCATTGTGTCATCACTAACACTGCAGAACGTGGTGTAGTACGTCCACCTCCTTCATGTGCATTTGTTTCCCCTAAAAGGTACGAGAAGATGTCCTCAACTCCCTAAACAATAACTTCCTTCAGACCCTAAATCAGGCCTGGAATGACCATCAAACAGCCATGGTGATGATCAGAGACATCCTGATGTACATGGTGAGTGGCTGACGTTAACACCGGCACTCCTCATGTGGACGTTGTTCCCAGTGCCAGAAGTTTGTGTGGAAATAATTTCTGTTTGTGTATACGTCAAAACATTTTAGAATAAACCAGAAACTGTGTATGTATTCTGTGTTTGGGCTCATTAAAACCCACTTTAAGGGATGACACAAACACGTTTACTGCATTTAACGCTGGGGGGGGGATGCAATTCTAAAAGCTTGTCCTTTTTGTGTGTCTGTCTCGCAGGATCGGGTGTACGTACAGCAGAACAATGTGGAGAATGTCTACAACCTGGGTCTCATCATCTTCAGGGATCAAGTGGTTCGTTACGGCTGCATCAGAGACCACCTCCGACAGACCCTGCTGGACATGATCGCCCGAGAGAGGAAAGGGGAGGTGGTGGACAGGTGAGGACTCTCAGACAGGATTTAAGAAGACCTAACCTCTGGCTGGTTATCCTGGCAGCTTGATTCTGACTTGCACATAAAGGGGTAAATGCAATCTACAATAAACTGCATATACAAAAAATAAACTATCAAGTACATTTCCCCAAATTTAAATGACAGCCTATGGGATTATATAACATATATGTGGAGTTCAATGCCTTGTCAAACTGACCCACCAAGAGCAGGAAGAACAGCAGGAGAAACACTAAAGCACACACACACACACAAACACAAAGCGACGTAACAACCGTAGGTTGTGAAATTCTGCCGCTAAGTGTGCCTTGTGCCTGAATATCAGACGTGGAGGGGTGTGACAACAAAGTTATTTGAGGACCCAGGAATGAGACCAGGCTGCATACCCAGCTCTCTGTTATTTGATAGACCCCCAGAAACATTCTGAAACAGTGAAAGACCAAGAAAAGAGAATATTTTTGTGTGAAGTCTGTAGATGCAGACATTGCCACAAACTTCTATTTGGTCAAAGTGAATGTAAGTCTACTGATAGGTCTACCGTAATTATTTTTAGGAAAATGCTGCATATTGTGCTTTTTTTGTTGTTGTATTTGTCTACTCTGGTTTGGCCTTCAACTTTTGTTCTGCCTCTCTTTCTCCACCAGGGGGGCCATAAGAAACGCCTGCCAGATGTTGATGATCCTCGGCCTCGAAGGGAGATCTGTTTATGAAGAAGATTTTGAGGCACCATTCTTAGAAATGTCTGCAGAATTCTTCCAGGTTTGTGGGAGAACATCAAATCCCATCATAGCTTTTATTTGGAGCCCAGTTATTTTGGCTACATTTTTCTTAAAACCTCTTTGAGAGGTTTAACACCATTTATTTATGGTGATGATAAATTCCATGAGTTTGAAAAAAAAAAAAAAAGCAATTATTTTTTTTAACTCTTAGATGGAAAGCCAAAAGTTCCTTGCAGAAAACAGTGCTAGTGTGTACATAAAGAAGGTCGAAGCCAGAATCAACGAGGAGATTGAGCGGGTGATGCACTGCCTGGATAAATCTACAGAAGAGCCAATCGTGAAGGTGGTGGAACGTGAGCTCATCTCCAAGCACATGAAGACCATCGTAGAGATGGAGAACTCTGGACTGGTCCACATGCTCAAAAACGGCAAGACAGACGGTGAGCGTCCCATGCCGCTTATGCCCCACGCCTTTTGCTATTTGATTTTCATTCATGACAGTTATATCGCATGAAACCAAAATCCCCAACGCTCTTTAATAAGCTGTTACTGTCTCTTGAAAGAGATGTATATTTTCCTGAATCGGTTACACAGTCACGATGCTTCCCCCTGCTTGTGTCACAAACAATGCAGGGAATTTGATTTGAGCGTTTGATTTAGATGAGACCGTCGCTTCGTGGCCCTAGTGAGGAGAAATTATATTCACTAGTACTCTCAAAGGCATCTCAGTTTACTCTGCGCAAATAAGCTGCATTCTGAGCAGATGTCGGCGACCCGGTTAGCAGCATTTCTAACGTGTGTGTGTTTGTGCATATTCATCACAGATTTGGCGTGCATGTACAAGCTGTTCACCAGGGTTCCCAATGGGCTGAAGACCATGTGTGAGTGCATGAGCTCGTACCTGCGGGAGCAAGGAAAGGCCCTGGTGTCAGAGGAGGGAGAGGGAAAGAACCCCGTGGACTACATCCAGGTGAGACGATGGAGCTTCAGGAGAATCGAGTGCAGCAGATGTTGCTGCTCAGTCTTGTGACTCTGCAGGCTACATGTTGCAGAATGTTCAGCTCATTTGCTGCTGCACGAGTATGAGGCGATTCCGATGTCACAAGCGTTGAAGCACATTCTAACCGTGCACCACAAAATATGCTACGCCTAACCTCGATTGAGATCAAAGTCCTTTCTGTTGGCTCTGCTCACTTCAGCGCCCCATTGCATGCAGAGCTCTGACCATAATGTGGTTCTATAGTCTCCCAGCAGAGGATCGCTGCTGTGAGACTCCACGCATGTGGTTAAAAGTCCAGCTGCTCTCTGCTACTCGACCACACCGTGTCGTTGCACAGTGCTGAAAAACATGTGAGGTCATTCAGGCCACCGGAGAGAAGGCACTTTATTTTAAAGTCTTGTTATTTTTATCTTTCAGTTTTTGTTGTTTGCCGTTTTACTCATTTTGTAGCTGTTGTTCCTCTCATCTTTTACTCAGCGGTTTCCAGCTACTGTCGGGCTGTAGTTGCTTTAATGGTTTTAATCACGCCGGTCTCCTTTCCTGCAGGGTTTGCTGGACCTGAAATCCCGTTTTGACCGTTTCCTCCAGGAGTCCTTCAATAATGACCGGCTCTTCAAGCAAACCATTGCAGGCGACTTTGAGTACTTCCTTAACCTCAACTCTCGTTCACCGGAGTACCTCTCACTCTTCATCGATGACAAACTGAAGAAGGGAGTAAAAGGGGTAAGCCCTCTAATGCCGGGAATCTCACCTTTTTTGTTTGAGCTCGTGCCAAACCTTCTGGTTTAGGTTAAACCCCAAATATTTCAACAACACTTCAATAATTAGCGCTTACCTTTTTACCAAACACAAATAAAATTGTCACATTTTTAGCCACACTGGATAAATAAAACTGACCATTGTGACCATCCTAAGTGCATCATTGTGCCTTTTTTGTCCAGTTGACCGAGCAGGAGGTGGAGTCCATACTGGACAAGGCCATGGTGCTGTTCCGCTTCATGCAGGAGAAGGACGTGTTCGAGAGGTACTACAAGCAGCACCTTGCAAGGAGGCTGCTCACCAACAAGAGTGTCTCTGATGACTCTGAGAAGAACATGATCTCAAAGCTTAAGGTGAGCGGGCATAACCTCAGCAGCTAAAATAAATAGATTTAGAATGAACAACTTGCAGCCTCTGGATGAGAACTGGATAGCTCAAATGTTTATTGAACTCTGGCCTATAGGGGTACATGAACCCTTATGGCAAAGACTTAAGCTTTGACGCAATGCTTTATTAACTAAACGTGTTCCTTCTCCTGCTCAGACGGAGTGCGGCTGTCAGTTCACCTCAAAACTGGAGGGCATGTTCCGGGATATGAGCATCTCAAACACCACCATGGATGAGTTTAGACAACATCTACAGACAACTGGGGTAAGGAGGCGCTGCACGCCACACCTCATTCTGTCAAAACTAATGAACCAGTTTGCTGCATGTGATGAGCGCACGGCTACTTGACTGGCTGAGCATTGCCGCGTTGCTCAGTTACATCAGAACAATTATGCAACAAACGATCCATATCCTTGGAATACATGGGGCTAATTTCCATTCGCCTCGTGTCACTAGAGACCCCGTCACCGGATCTGATTGCCATTGTAGTTTGCTGAACCACGCAGTCATTATTTGTTCATGTTTTCCGTGTTGCACAAAGTTGTTTTGAATCTATTTGTCCTAATTCATTCAATTATTGTCTGATGAAATCAAGAGGCTTTGAATTTGGTGATCTCTTTCAGAAAATAGTACGTGCTCCTTCAGCTGGTTATTTTTTTGTTTTGATGATCTGTTTCTAAGCTCATTACATCAACACGATCAGTGAGCTTCGGTGTGTAACCACGTCAGCGTGGACTAAAACTTTGTGTGTCTTTTGCTTTTCCAAACGTCAGGTGTCTCTTGGAGGGGTCGACCTCACTGTGAGAGTCCTGACCACGGGCTATTGGCCAACACAATCAGCAACACCAAAGTGCAACATCCCGCCTTCACCGCGACATGCATTTGAAGTCTTCAGAAGGTCAGTTGCGATCCAAAAAGGAAGAGACTTGCTGAGCCACAATATGTTTTAATTAAGCGCTGGCTAGATGACATTTTTGTTTTCAGTTCCTGACAATATGAGCTTTATATCTCGAACTTTCTAGCATTGTTGATGCAGCGCTGAATTGTCATGTTCCTGTATTTTTGAATAATTATGCTACATTGGCTACTTTTAGAGGTTAACTGGGAGTGACTTCTACTGCTTTTAGGTTTTATCTTGGTAAGCACAGCGGAAGACAACTCACACTACAGCACCATATGGGCTCTGCAGATCTAAACGCCACCTTCTACGGTCCCATCAAAAAGGTACTGTAAGATCAGTACATGTTTTAAATACTATATGCTATGATTATGCCATAGAACAGATTGCAAGTAGTGATACGACATGTGCATGCGCCTTAGTCAAAACAAATCTACACTGCCATTAGAATGTACAGTGAGAAACTCCCTCATTGTAGGACAGTCTCATGGTTCCAAGGTTTTGTTGCCAAAGGTTAGAGGTCTGAAAATGTTTTTTTGTTTTTTTTAAGTGTAATTTTCAAAGTGTAAGTAAAAACATCCTTTTTCTCAAGTTCAGTAGTTCGAGCAGCAGGGAAAACAACTTTCTAATATTGTGAGGACTTCCAGAAACCGAAAACATGACTTGTTCAAGCAGATTCTGAATGGTATTCTTAGATTTTGATCTTTTCTCCCCGAACTTATCAAAAGGAGGACGGGTCAGAGGTTGTAGTGGGAGGAGCCCAGGTAACCGGCTCCAACACCAGGAAGCACATCCTGCAGGTTTCCACTTTTCAGATGACCATCCTCATGCTTTTCAACAACAGAGACAAATCCATCTTTGAGGTACACAATTTCAATCAATAGATTGATAGAGGAACATTTTAGCAGGAAAGGGACACTTCTAAAACGAGTGTCCGATTCCTGCTTTTGTCTCCGTCATGTCTTGCTTAATGTTTTAACCGTGATCCCAAACTTGATCCTTCAACCTTACAGGAGATCCAGCAGGAGACAGACATCCCAGAGAGGGAGCTGGTGCGAGCGCTGCAGTCTCTGGCTTGTGGGAAGCCCACTCAGAGAGTTCTCACCAAGGAGCCCAAGTCCAAGGAGATCGAGAATGGCCACGTGTTTACAGTCAATGACCAGTTTACCTCCAAACTTCACCGCGTCAAGATCCAGACAGGTACACGCTATCTGGCCTCTTATAGCGCCAAACCACAGGAAATAATACCTCGCAGGCAAATTATTTAAACCTATTTGGGAAAATTGTATCCAGGCTTTCACTCACAGTACTTTTTCTTTTGCATTTATTTTCCTTTTTGTTACAACCCACCTAGTGGCTGCTAAACAAGGGGAGTCGGACCCAGAGAGGAAGGAGACGCGGCAGAAAGTGGACGACGACAGGAAGCACGAAATCGAAGCTGCCATCGTTCGCATCATGAAGTCCAGAAAGAAGATGCAACACAATGTTCTAGTAGCAGAGGTCAGTGAGCCCGAGCTCGTTGCGTTTGTGAAGAGTGATTATGATGATGATGGTGGTCTTGGGATGAAAAGTATGACGTAGTGATATTTTTTTTGTTATTGTTTTTGATGTCTCCGCAGGTGACGCAGCAGCTGCGTGCACGATTCCTCCCGAGTCCCGTAGTCATCAAGAAGCGCATTGAAGGACTCATTGAGAGGGAATATTTGGCAAGAACGCCCGAGGACCGCAAAGTGTACACTTATGTAGCATAAAACACTTGAATTCAAGGAAAGCTAACGTCGAGTTGTGAGAAACGGAGAGCCTGGTCTTTTTTGTGGACTGCTATGCGTTTGAATGAACTTGGAAGTGCTTTCATCAATGATTCTGGGAAACACTGGGAAGCTTTACTTTTCTTCCATAAAAATGTGTAAAGAGAAGAAAACGTGCATAAGACGGGGAAATTCTCTAGGTATATTAGATGTCTTCCGCGGAGAAATGAAGGGAGGGGATCTAGTTTTGTACAAAATCACGTTTCTTGTGGCCTTTGGAGAGAATTGGGCGAGCCGGTTTGCCAATTAACCACGTGCTGTTGAGAACGAGCTGAAACGTGTTGGAGCAAACCTGCAGCTACGTGGAGGCCAAGAAAACATTTGAATTCACTCCCCTGTTTTAAATGTCTATGTCAATGTGTTTTTTGTGGCACATTGATGGCTGTACATGTTAACAGACACTCTTGGCCTTTTCCTCCTAGAGGATTTTAAATTGAAAGAGGAGGACAGTGCTCACTGCTGCAGACCTGGTTTACAACAACGACTACTGGAGAAAACATGAGTGCTTGATTTGTTAAAAATGTCTTTTTTTTAGGTTGTTTTACTGTCTTATAGAAGTTAAGTGCACCTATATTTAATGCCATTTTCAATATTTGGGCGAGGTCTGTACGGGTGGTTAGAGAGATCGCGTGCTTCGATCTGATGGATCAATCAGGGGAATAAGACATGAAATCTCCGGAAACGCCGTTTGGTCTCATGACACATATTTCACTTCAGGCCTGCTGTATGATTGGCCAAAAAATAAAACCGCCTCTTTTGAATGAATTTGAATGATTGAAGTTGGAAGCTTTCAAAGACGTTTTGGGGATTTAAAGAGTGATGGAGCCAGTCCAGCACCATGTTCTAATGTGTACAAATTGTAAGATAATTATTGTACTCACTGCAAAGGTGGAATGTACAGGGCCTTGTTTTCATCATAGTAAATGTAGAATAAAAAAATGAAGGGGTGGGGTTTTCCTTTTCTTCTTTTTTTACATCTTTCATTTGAATGCCTCGAAAAAAGACTGAAGAAAGTACTCTCTTCCATAAGCAAAGGTTAGTTTAGGTTTCACGTTGTAGTATTTTGAGATTGGAAGTACAACTTTTTACTTTAAAGAAAATACAACTCCGTTAAAACTAATAGTTTTATTTAAACTGATTGAGCGCCGTATTTGTATGTGCTGTTTGGAGGCTGTCTTTTTCATTAATTGTATTTTATTTTTTGACGTCTTTCATATATCGACCCTTTTGATATAAAATGAATACAGAATTTCAAAAAACCAAGCACTGCAAACTACAGTCTATAAAATGACCTTAAAGTCAAATCCACACTGATGATAAAATGTGTAATACATCAATGAAACTTTATTTTTTTATTATGGCCATTTCAGCTCCATTAAACCAAAGTATCTGACTAGCTGGTCTTGATCAGCATTTATACTTATACAGAATTAGTTCATACTTCATGTGTTGTGATGATTTTTTTGATATAGAACACTGAGTGCACATAATAAGGTCGCATGCATTTTGTTGGGACCACGATCGTCGTTTGTGCTCAAATGCGTGAAGCTTTCACAGGTCTGCGTGCCCCTAAAGCGACTTTAATGCTCTTAATGAGGTATTAACTAACAATGTCTTTAGTTTTTAGGGTTTGGAGGCTGCGCGTTTAAATCCGTCCAGCCCGTCTGGACTGTCCCCTTTGTCTCTGCTCGTGTCGTTGGTCGCGTGCCATCTGCTCCATATGTTCTTATCGGCGGCTTTAGACCGACAGCAGCACACATTTACTTGTCCCTTTCGCCCTGCTTGCGTTCATTCGAACCGGCGGGGGGGCATCTCCAGTTTTCGTTTTCTCCCTCAAAACATGTGTTGCCTTTTATTCTAACATAAGTGTGTATGGTTGCCCAGTGACGTCAGCGTCCCAGCAAGAGAGTCCCTCTTTTTTCTTTTTCTTTTTTTTTTGTTGCTGGAGCGGGCTGTGGAAAGAAATCAAACGGGATGCTTCTCCCCCGTCAGACTGCACTTCTGCAAACATCGCTCACACTTTCTGAGTAGATGGCTGGATCAAATGTTAAAGAAAGTGCAGCTTTTGGACGATGTCCAGAAGAGCGGCGCTATTAAAGGAACCCGACTATGAAAACGCGGACTCCGGAGCTGAAACTGCCGAGTGAGTCAACCGTTGCTTTCGGCGCTAGCTAACGATGCTAATGGTTAGCTAGCCAAGTCCGAGTTTTAATGGAAGTCCTGACAGGGAATCGTGAGGGGGGCATCATTTCAACACACGAACTAAATTGTGACTTTAACCTCTTAGAAATGTACTATAGGTGTTTATAACTGATGTCCCCAGAAATATATTTTTCTTCTATATATCTTTCTAAATTGGTTTTATTACCCTAATGTTAGCTAACAACATGCAACGTGTTGTCATGGTGACCGAAGGGGCTCGTTCCCAAGCCAACCGCCGCAAGATGGGGACGGATTTGTGCCTTTCCCCCTGCCAATGTAAACATGAAAACAGTATCTGAGTGAATTACTGTACTTTTTATCTTCTTATTCAGATCTGACAGCAGCAGGATGTCGTCAGGCAGTAAGTACGCATTCACCTAATTTCCCTGCCTTAATTAATAATTATACAGTATATAAAATAATTTTACTTTTTAAAGTGAGTCGATTAACAAGCAACATATTTATACAGCAGAGGAAAAATGATCAACATTTTCAATCAATATCAGTCAAGCTTCAACAAAATCACATCCAACTGTTCCTATAATCAATTATGATTGTTATTTATACTCTACCTGCGAATGTATTCAAACACCTCTATCATCTCAGAAATAGATGGATCTAGATTTGTTACCTTTCTCGGAGAAGGAGTCTACAGTATAGTCTCCTAATGTGATCCGACAGGCGTTGACACATGCTTAGTACAATGATATCCAAACACAGTGCATCACTAATTGTTTTTGCACTAAACTAAATGGATCAGTTGTATTGTTACTTAATTTCCCTAAGAAGACATTGTACAACAGTTTTTTGAGTAGCTGAGGCAGCGCTCCCCAACACAGGGACACTAATCTCGATGTGTGAAATGGGATTACAAGCTTTTACTACAAAACGTTTGTTATGGTTCCTGCTTAAACATCAGGTCTTTAGCCGTTGCAAGCTTACCGTTGTCTAAACTGCCCTTGTACACTTCTATGCATGTGTGTTACCCCAGTTCAGTGCATGACCGGTCGGGTCAGGCAGCAGCAGCAGCAGCAGCAGCATCTGCTACTGAACTTACATCTGCTGGCCAACCCTGGAGACTCACTGCTGCTGCAGCACACGCTGGACCGCCTCCTCCGCTGGCTGTGCCCGACTCTCCGTATCTTCCATGTGTCAGAGAGGGCCTCCCCATTCCGAAGTTACACACGCCTGTGTTCTGTTGCAGGTAAATATCCTCACTGTGTGGTATGCATTTATTATGCATCTTGATGTACAAGTCGGGTCCCCCGTATGTAATTTATTCCAAGCTATTTTGTGCCCCTACAACTTCTTGGCACGTTGAGTTGTTGCATTATTTCTGTAACTTAATTATTTCCATATGTAAGAAAAAGACAACCCCCTCAAACGTTGTACTCAATACTAAATTGAATCTGTATATGACGTAAACAGGCAATCCCACAAGCTTCTCTCGCTAGAATGGGCATCTGTTTTTTATTTTAGCTCAAACGAGAATAACTTTAAAAAAAACAATGTTTCAGGCTACCCTTCTCTGGCCATTACCTTCTTCCTGCACGAGGCCTACGGAGAGGAGCGAATCCTCAAAGTGCTAGACTTCTTTCAGCATCCTCCATGGCAGTACCACCACACTGAGACCTGCGGCAACAGAACAGGGGGGGTGTACATCACCTCCAGCAGCTCTCCCACCAATGCCATGCTGCGGCCCTACCTCCTGCCCAGCCGAGATTTCTATAGTTTGGGTGCGGGCATGCCTGTGTGGGGGGTTCGGCCAGTCCACTGCGGAGGGGAAATACTGCGTGTGACACTGTACAGTGGATACGACAACTACGAGGACGCTGTGCGGCTCTATGAGACGGTGCTGCAGCGACAGGCAGAGGAGCAAAAGACGGGCTTCTGCTGGTTCACTCTCCACACAGGTAAATCCTCAAAGAGCGTCTTCTTTACATTTCCTACAGCTTGTTTTTGTCCTGATAAGAAGGAAATGAAATAGCCAAATGACACGTAATAATTTGTTTTCCGCACAGAGCCCGGGCTGAGCCTGCAGCTGGCTTTAAAACAGCTGTCACCAGGAGCTCGAGTGGAGCCGTGCGGCTCCGCTGTGCTGCAGTTTAGTGTGGAAGAAATTGGCCAGCTAGTCCCTCTGCTGCCCAACCCGTGCACCCCCATAAGCAGCTCCCGCTGGCAGACAGAAGACCTAGATGGAAACAAGATTCTCTTCCAGGTAAGGGAAATATAACTACACTTTGTTTACTTCATAATTCTCTCACAACAGAGTCCAAAGAGAAGCATCTCTGCCAAAATGCAATTCGCAGAACGGAACATTTTGCACACCATATGAGGAACGACAGGTTGCTTGAGGGAAGACGTTTACTTTGAGTGGAAAGCAGCAGCTGTTTGTAAAGTAATGGAATGTTTGTGTTGAATTTCAGTTTTAGTTTTATGTAAAGTTTGACAAACTGATGATTATTTCACCCGGAATAAATTAAAGAGAATATTTTCTTCCATTTACAATAATCTCACGGTAAACAAAAGAAGAAGGAAACAACATTAGTTACTATGCTGGATGCACAACATGATTTTAACTTTGTGTGATTTGCATGAGATGCTAACCCCATTTTTTGTTTTATCACACAAACCGTATAAATAAATACATTTAAAAAAAACCCATTTGGCCAAAAGGCCAACGTTCTTCCTACTGTTCACACGATGGAGAATCTGTGTTAAATATTTGGTTACTTCATGAATGCTGAATAAATAAATCAGACATCATGAGATAAACCAATTCAATACTAGAAATGGACAAACCCTTGTCATTCTTCCTGTGATGATGAAATGAAGGGGGCACGTGGCTGCTGTCCTTCACAGAGCCCACGTACAGCTGTGATAGGAGCCATATGTAAGATTTGTGTTGTTAATTCTCTCAGTCACTTAACTTGCTTAAATCTCTGTAGTCCTGGGTAAATCATAATCCCCCCCGCCCCCCACCCCATCTGGCCTTCCGTGCTACAGGTAAAAACCCCGGCTCAGCCTCAACGACCTCTGACCTGTGCTTTCCCCGTGACCGGCCCCAGCGTGTCCCCTCAGGGACTGCAGCTCAGGAGCTCGGTGCAGGGCCACAGCCTGTCGCCCCTCACAACCCCCCTGCCCTGGCAAACACACAAGCACAGTGAGTACACCGAGGGGGGAAACATTATTCTCAGGGTCCAAGGTGACTTCGGGGTTCCTACAGGGTATGAAAAGGTTTATCAATCGATTATGCAAAAATCAAGGCCCCTAGAATGTGCTTTAAAAAGTCTTAAATGCTGTATATTGGGGAACCTTTTCCTATCGTCAAAGTGAAAGTCAAACTGTTTGTAACTGCCCACTTCTGTGACTCTACTCCACGTGTGTTTGTGCGGTCCACAGGCCACAGGCCGCGCAGCGACTCGGTCCTGGAGAAGCTCCATGGAGCGGAGAGCCAGGGGTCGGGGAGCTGCTGTAGCACCCCTCCAGGTAGCTCCTGCTACTCATCACAGCGCAGCAGCCCCGCGCCACACTCCGCTACCAACCACCCCGACTCTCCCCTGCGCCCCTCCATCACCCGCTCTCTCTCCTATCTCCTTCTGGAAGAGGAGGAGGAGCCAGAAACAAACGTCGACACAGGAGCCCCCGTCTCGCTGGCCTCTGACCCGGCGGTCAAAACTATAGCTGGCTCCTCCTCCGTGGACCTCCTGATCAATCGCCACGCTGAGAGGCCCGTGTCTGCTGGGGATTCAGCTGTTGAGGGTCTGACTGAGGAGCCGGTTGAACGTCCGCCAGGGACACACACGAACCCTCGCGTGGCCTCCAGGACATGGGGCCCTGCTGGATGTACAGATGCAGCCAGGAGGGGCTGGGACAGCAGGACTGTGGCAGCAGGACAAAGTCCCTCCAGAGGGCCATTTGAGGAGAGCAGGACTACCGGTGAGCCGCTGTCAGCACGCACAAACAACCAGGAGCCGGTCGATGAGTTCTTCATCTAAGTTCCCGGGGTGAGAATCCTAAAAACATATCACATGGAGGACTGCCACCGAGGTTGGACAGGATGCTGTGGATGTGAGGGGCAGGAGGACACATGTCGGTGGTCCGTCTAAAGACGAATCCTCTGGAATACAGAAGGAACCAAAGCTCAGTTGCGGGGGACACTGTCCACTCAGAAATGACTCTCTAAAGTCTTAAATGGTTTGAATTGTTAGATACGTTTAAACAATGCTTTAAACCAGAGAGCAGTATAAAATAATACTATTCTTTCTAAAGAAAGAAAAGTACTTTTATATTTAGATCCAGCTCCTTATTTGTGCAGTTATAGTGCTAAAATATAGCGCCGGGAATTACACAACATGAAGGAAAAGTGTCTGTCGACGTGCTGATGCCATTTTAGGTTTGTTTCACATTACTCCGAGAGGCAGACTCATGTTTTACAGTCTGGTGATGATCTCGGTGTCAAGGATCTCTTTAATGTTGCTGAAATCTGATTGAGTCGTATTGCTCTTCACAGGCTTAGCCTCCGATAACATTCGTTTAAATGCACTTCGAATTATATCTACTCTTTATTTGTGGGATAAAATGTACTAGACTTAGGCCAAATTACTGTATTGAAGAGGGTCGCGTTTTCTCACACAATTATGTTTATCCTCTGGTAGCTTAAAGTTAACGGGATTTTCTAATTAACTACTTTAAGAAGAACATTTTGACGTTTACAAAAAACCTTGTGATATATGTTGTTGTTTTTTTAAAGGATAATTTACCATTAGTACATAAGTGAAGTGTGTTAAACAGCCCGGATGTGTCCTATGAACTCATGTTCATTACAAAGCTGAGGGCTCAGCTGAGCGGTTTGAACCGATCACTTTACAGCAGATGGTCTTCCAACACAACACTTTTGCACAGTGCTCATAGAGCTGTTTAGAGACCACTCTGACAAAGGATGATATATTATTGTGAGGAGAGGAATGTTTCATGAACGATTTAACAACCTTCAGTCCGGTCAAATCGCCCATTCTGCGCAAATTGTTTCTTATCTTCTACATCTATGAAACCTCTGATTGTGGCCAAGGACCTTCTAGATTGAATCCACTCAGATGATCCACTTGTGCATAATAGCTGGTTATTGATCAAATGCATATGATTTGAGGTTAACAGCCGGGTGCTGCAGGTGTACATGGCAGCTAGCCGTTGTTAAAGTCTCTAAAGGCTTTTTGTAAATGAGAGAAACTGGAACAAAGGCACGAATGCACAGTCGGGACGATCAGCTGCGAGTGTCCTCGGTGTGTAAAATGTGGACGCCTTAGAATTCAAAGATAAACGAATAAACCATCTCTTTGTTGTTGGTACGAAGGCTCACTGTGTGTTCTGACGTGTTTCCACATCATAACAAATGTTAAGATTTCAATACTGATGTAACGCCAGTGACGAAATGTATTATTTATTAAAATGTATTATTGAACAGTATGTGTGTGTGCTCCACTGTGAGCTGAGCAATCGATGATCTGCACCAGTCTGACTGACTGCTGCAGTGATCGAAAGGATGACAGTTAAGAAGGATATTACCAGTTTACAACCACAATGCTGTCAGGCGATTGTTTGCGTCAAACTAAACAGAATTGAAGTGAAATCAAACTTCAGTCACTGTATTCAGCTGTATTATTATGCAGATTTATGCAGTGATCACGCCCTTCTACGGCAGTGTTTCACTGAAGGGCATTTCTTTAAGTTTCCAGAAACAAACGTCGACACAGAAGCCCCCGTCTCACTGACGTCTGACACGGCGGTCAAAACAATCGCCAAATCGCCACGCTGAGAGACCCGTGTCTGCTGGGGCTTCAGCTGTTCAGGGTCTGACCGAGGAGCCGGTTGAATGTCCGCCAGGGACACACACGAACCCTCGGGGCTCTGCATGTTCAGATGAGAATCCAAAAACATGGAGGGCTGCAACAGAGGTTGGACAGGATGCTGAATCAAATCAGTCGTTGAGTTGCGGGGGACACTGTCCCCTCAGAAACTTTCAAGTCTTTAAATGGTTTGACTTGCCACAGAAGATTCTACAATGTACAGGGTTATTGTTTTAATAGAACGGAACTGACAAGAGAGCAGTACGAAAGGAATGGTAATTTAAAACAATGCAGGCAATAATATTGTTGAATGTTTAAATTACTCTTATTATTTATTTATAACGTTTTTTCTGCAGCCATACTGCTAAAATGTAAAAATGGCTTTTGATTACATTTGTTTAAATGCACATCCGATTGCATAAGACAACCCTTTTCCACTCAATTGTGTTTCTCCTTAGGAAACCTAAACATTTCAGACTCTCAAACATGTCTATTATATGTTGGATAGTATATTCTGGTATTACAGAAGAGACGACATGTTCTTTGATTTCTCAGTCGGCGAGCAGATAAGACAAAAAAAAAGAAAGAAAAGGCGTTGATCCAATAAAAGAAATGGTTTGCTCTTCTTATTTTAGGGTGCACGGCTCTTTCCATTATCTTGGCTGTATTAATGAGGCTATAATTGTACATTTATCTGCAGCATAAATACTACTTGTGCTTTAAATCGTAGAAAGCAAGTGGATCTATTTCAGATCTATTTCAAACCCTTTATGGAGTTCATTGAGCCTTTGCAACATATAAACTCAATGTGGGTTCAGGTTGAAAAAGCCACTGCATCTTTAAATTACAGCAGACACAAACAAATTGCAAGTTCTTTAAGGCCTACAGCTCTCTCTGCTGGTCAAAGAATGCTGTTGCTCTGAGGAGCGTGGCTGCAACCAGTCCAGCTCAGATCCGTGGCCCACTTTCCCTCCCTGGTGACTCGCACTTTGACCGGGTCAAACCTCCAGAAGCGCTGTTCTCTGAACAGATAGAGGCGTCCGTCGGGACGGGCCAGAGCCCCGTTGGTCCCCTGTGGCACACCCGTCCAGTCCGTCAACCTGCGAGGGTAGTAGGGCTCCTGGCGCAAGGTTTTGAGGTTGAGCACGGAGTAACGGGAGCCCTTGAAGAGGACCATGTGACCCAGAGGAGCGTAGTAGAAGACGCAGTCAGGGTGTCGAGGCAGCCCCATCTCGCCGCTCCTCCTGGGGAAGCCCTGGTCCAGCACGCTGCCCGAGTAGCGCCACATTCGCTTCCCTACGCCAGCAGAAAAGAGTCAAACGAAAGTGGCTCCAAAAGTTCATGCAGAACTTGAGATTAACCATAACATCCAACTGGTGACACAGGTCAACCCGACTTTTTTCTTTAAGAAACTTCTAGGATTTTTATTACAATACAAAAAATGCTATACACTCTTTTAAAAGTATAATCCTTGAAAAAAAGGACATTAATAATAACCATAATATTCTTAATTTTGTAGCGTCTGTATTTTGCATAAAACTGTCTAAACTTTGCCACAACCTCAAACAAGTTCTACTTTAAGATGACATCTGTGGCTTCGAAGGACTAAACTCTTAAAATAGCACTTTCCTATACAAAGGCTAGCTAGGCAGCTATTTAGGGAGCTCTAACAGATTTGGGCCGATAGCTTAGGGGACGTCTTTAAAAGGAAGTGTGCGCATTAACGATAACGAATCGAGTTGAGTGAAGCAATACCTTTAAAAAAATACCACTTGGAGTCCAGCGGGGAGAAGGCAGCTGCCTCGATGGCCGGGGGAAGGCCCGACCAGCGCTGACGGAGGGGCAGCGGGCCGCTCGCACCGCCTCCGGGCGATACCGTCCAGTACACACCGCCCCGAAACACCAGCACGGTGTCGTTCTGGTCTGCAGACACAAGGAACAGGAAGGAATCGTGCAAGGGTAAATGACGAGGCTGAATGTTACTTTCCATTACTATTTCTCTCCGTCCTCACCCATGGTGATGGCATCAAAGACCCCCTGGCAGTAGAGGGGCTGCCCTGTGGTCTCGTGCCCCTCGTGAAGCTCTGAGAACTCCCACTCCTGCAGGGTGGCATGCAGAACTTGGCCCGGCAGCCTCACGGGGCGATCGCCCGACGGCTTACCTGAGGGCAAAAGCAAAGCAGCGAAACATGGAACCCAAGACGCATCAGACACGGCCATTAAAAAGTAATCCAGGGTTTGACTTAATCGCTTCGAGTAGGGTTGTTTTCCGTCCACCTGGGCTTAAATGTCCCACGTATAGTTTGTTATTTTAAACCTAAAGTGGCCCAACAAGACTGTGAGGACAGATGGTGCAATTTGTCAAGCATGCCAACAGCAACTTAAGTATTTCCTAAATTGGACGGCATGGGAGCAATTTTTCAAGACAAACAAAGGAGACTTCTCCGAAAACAGGACTTGGATAATGTTAACATTTAAACGGTCCTTTACGGGATGTGGCTTAGTTGATGTACGCTGATGGATGACGTTACACTGCACAGGAAATAAACAATGGACTGTAGATATAGTGCACACTGCACCCTTAAACATAGTGTATTAGTACCATTAAAGGCTTTTCTTGGCCTAATAGTGCAGATATCTGACACAGGAGAGGAAAAGAAAAACTGAAACAAGAAAGAAGCAGGGAAAATAACAACATACCAAAGCATTACAGTAAACGATGGCGCTTGGACGTGATTGCAGTCATTTTGTTTGCAAGGAGTTGAACAAACATTTGTGTAGAAGGTGGATAAAATCAGTACAGCCAAGAACACGAGGAAGACAGCAGGGAAAATAGGTATAAACACCACAATAGCATATCATAGCTGATATGTGTGTGCGTGTGTGGGGGCGATGTCACTGTGTGTGTGTGTGTGTGAGTAGCGTTGGGAAGATAAAAGCTGGATATCTGCCTTTACTCAAACACTTGACATATTATTCATAAAATAATCAAATAAAATAAAATATTAAAATGTGCTCAGCGTTGAAATGACTAATTATGCAGAAATTATGTTTTATATATAGGCTATTGCATCAAACACTGCGCGGCGGTAGAGAGGCGGCGCTGTTGTCTGTTCTCTATGTAGATATGAAGGGTTAATAAAAACATATTACACACTTTGGCTCAGTATTTCTGCATCGTTGTAGACCTTTCATCCCTCATGCTAAGGAGCAGATAGCGGAGCTCTGGAGACATATCCAGGCCGTCTCACATCTGCTTCTTATCACATTCATGCAAAACCAGATACGCTCACGTCGCCTAAAGCTCATATCTTTAAGCAGATGTGAGTTTTTCATGACTCCTACGGACCTGTCGTTTAAAGTTTCCCACGTCCGTGCCGTTGTTTAGCTGCAGTGTGCAGAAGTCACTGCCACGGGGTGGACATCAGGATGGTAAGCAAACAGGTTTAAAGCCTGTTTCACTTTGCTAAACTTCACCTGAGCAGAAGAATCCTGAATAACTTCTAGCGGAGCATTTACAAAAGGTTGGAACGCTTCCAATGAGTCTTTCTGTAAAGACTGAGAAGCAAAAACATTGTGAGGTTTAGCTTTCAGCGTAAAAGTAAAAAAACACATTCTAACTGCTGTTCATTGGGCGTAATAAATTGAAGGGTAGTCTATGGTCACATGAGTCAAAGTGCCATAAAGTGCAGCAGTTGTTAAGTGTAACCTCACTGAAAATGGAAATGTGTGTCTGAGGCGGCGGAGTAGTAATCCCAAGTGAATACGGGTGGTCGTGAGGAGTAAAGGGCTGAGATATCTTAAAATATTAAGCACATAAAGAGAAATCTGGACCCTTCCTGCTTGCGAGCTTCTGCTGAGCTAAACCATCCAAACGATTGTGGGATCGTCCCGGCAGCACAGCTGTTCTACTCCTCCTTTCAGAGGCAAAGCGGGTGAGGACTTGATGCACCATTTGCATCGTGCACGTTTCAGCGTTGCACACCATCACAGGAGAGGTCATGTAGAGGCAGAAGACACTTTAAAGATAAAGCTCTTGTGCAACTGCCGCCGTGAAATCAGCCTCTTTGCCGCAGAGGGAACACAAGTCATAGAAGGACTGTGCACATGTGCAAACCTGCCTGACACATGCCAGAAGGAACAACACACTCAAGTTGAACAGAAAGTATTATAATCGTCATCCAGATCCACATTCTGCAACCAGCCCAGCGGCCCATTACAACAGCGTGTGTGTGTGTGTGTGTGTGTGTGTGCGTTTCGGGGCACAGTGTTATTATGACAATCACACAACCTCTGCTGCCCCTCAGTCCAAAGCAGCGGAGAGACCACAGAGCTGCAACTGATAGAACAAACTCATCATACTGTTCGAGACAAAGCCGACAAAAGGCACAACGAGACAATGTTGTTTTCAAGGAGTTTTACTACGTTTGCCGAGAACCAAAAACCAATGACTGCATAACGTCAGAAAGTCAACTTCCTGGATTCAAAACTGTTTCGATCATTTATTGCCAGATCTGAGTTTTGATGAACTCGGGGGACTCTCAGCTGCTCTACCGTTCTAGTCCTTCTCATTCTGTGTCTGCAGCTGGTGGATCCTCAGGCAGCCTCTTTCCACAGCTCAGTGCCACAACTCCTGCTCTGATGGGCAGCACAGTGAAAATGCCCCCGTGCTCGTGCCTTTCTACAAGTCCGGTTTCATAAGGACTCGCTGATTCATGTAAACGGCTCTCCGTGTTCCAATCACCGTCCATTCGTAGGGGGACATTTGTCTTCCGTCCATTAAAGTGTTAGTGAGGTTGGGGAAAAAGTGGTAAAATATATCTCTGTCAAGTGAAGGTGTTTAACGTTCCTCCGGACCTTGGAACCACACACTTCCCCACGTGGGACCTGCAGCGCGAAGGAGCGCCATCTCACCGTACAGCTGCTGCACCGCCACGATGTCGTCCCAGCTCAGCACCAGGCTGCGGCCCAGCTTCCGGTAGTACGGCGACATCAAGGCGTGGCGGACGGGCGAGTGCTCCAGTCCCAGAGTGTGGCCGATCTCGTGGGCGGTCACCATGAACAGGTTGTGTCCCTTGTGTCCGTTCAGCGTCCACCTCTCGGCCATGTCGAAGTGGGCTTCCCCCCTGCGGGGCAGGAAGGCGTGAGCCAGAGTTCCTCCTGAAGGTCAAGAAGGAGAGAAACAGTTAGAGGAAATGTGTGCTTTTAGGAGATCATTCCTGCCCAGTGCAATAACACTTTACAATAAATCATCTCTGGCTAAATAATGACAATAATAACCCTGTACTGCTGTGATGTTGCCGCTCTTTCCTCTTCCTCTTCTCCTTTTACAAATTATTATTATTGTCTCTTTTGGAAGGTTATTCTTTTGTTTCAGTTTTAGTTTATTTTATTTAATAATTTAATATTTTTATCTTATTATATTGTATATAATGTGTATCTTTTTATTCTATTTTCTTCCCTGTACATGCTGCTGTGATAGCAAAATTTCCCTCTTGAGGGATCAATAAAGTATCTATCTATCTATCTTTTAGTCAAGTTTACTTTAGTATTGCTAAAGCTTATTTGACAGTAAAATATAGTGTTGATATTGGTTTACTATTAACATTCTAAACAAGTTGGACAACAGGATTCGAGATGATTACCAGTGTAGAAAAATATTCATTCAAGTTTTATCTCTTCTTTGCTTTTTTATGTCTAAAACATTGTAGTATTATTTCTCTAGCTGTAGTTGTTTTTTCTGGTTCACATTAGTTTAGTTATTTCTCTTCATTGCGAACAATATTTAATATTTAAACACATGTATTTTAATGAGGAGTTGTTGGTAAATGTTCGTATTGAAGAGCCACACGCACAACACACTGAAACTACTGCTCAAATGAGATTAGATACATCAGCATATTTGTTGCTTATACGCTGAGCATTCGTTCTAGACTACACATTTCTGATTAGATGACATGATGTTCATAAATCAAGTGAACTATTGTATTATTCTGGTCTCTGCATTGTGTCATCATAATCCGCTTTAATCCCACTAATCTGTTTACAGCAGACTGTTCAGTTTTATGTATCCAGGAAGTTGGGCTCGTTTGCAGGACAAGCCTGAGGGAAAGTTACTAACACAAGGTCACGCCACTGAATAATCATTCACACACACACACACACACACACACACACAGGTGACTCGACTCGGTGTGTGTGGTTCCCCCATAACCTGGTCCGTCGAAGGCATTGCTCGCCCCGTCGTTGTGGTCTCCCTCGTAAAACGCCAGTCGGATGTCCGCGGGGCCCCCGGGGGCCTCCTGGAACACGAGGCCCGACACGTTGCTCCACAGCTGAAAGGCGACGCGCACCGCCAGCCGCACGGAGCCCAGGGACAGGTGGCGAGGCCAGTTCACTATCTGGTAGGTCAGATGGCGCTTGTACCACTTCTCGGCTGGACGATGGACGAACACAGTGAGACAAACGGGCACCGTCTTATTCATTCACTGATCACACAATGATAATAAACAGAGCAAAAGAAAAGTCTTTGTTAATATAAAACAATTTATTGTAAGAATCTGACAAAGATGAGCTGGGAGAGCCAAGCATCTGAACAGCATGGAACACATTGTTCTCCTCCAGAGTGACAAACGTCAGCCATATTCTACTGTCTTCATATAACTATCACACCACTGCGCTTGAGACAATTGTTAGATTTGTCTTGTAGTGCCACAACACCTCGTGGAGGGCGGAAGATGTCGGCCAGCACCCTCAAAAGCAGAATTTGGGGCAACGTCTGTGCAAGAAATGTGGCATTTATTAACAGTAATGTTAATACAACACACAAGTTAAAAACAGAAATAATTCAAGTTCAACCTGCACCCTTTCCAGCCTCATCTCACTTGTACCAACAGATTTTCAAATTGCTGTTTCTGAAACTGCATCTGACAACAAATATAAACACACTGCACTTTGTTTCCATCCAACTAATCCGTCGGTTTCCCATCTGTCTGTTTGCAAACTCCTGCCTGGTTTGGCTGTTGATATTTAAGGTGGCTTTGAAAAAGGTTTCACAAAACAATTGGTATTATTATTATTATAGTAACTATGTATTTACATCTCACGCATCCGCATCGTGCATTTGGATGGAAGAAGTGTCGATGAACTCTGAGGCTTTGAAGTAGAGTCTCGCTACATCCAAAATGACAGGATGTCAACCACATTGGCTCACAGCTGGCTAACGTAACAAGCACCCTGAACGCACTCTTGACCAAACAATTCACCCCGACACGTGTCTGTGGTTTCTCAGCTTAGTTATAATCACACGTGTTACAAACTTCTGAATCTCACATTTGTTTAAGGAGAGACAGAAGTGTGCAGTTAAATTCGTCCGTTCTTTTAATTTGCCAAAAGGTTCATCTCTGTGTGCACCTGGGATCACTGAATGGATCAAGACGGAGCAAACGTAACGGCGAACAATGCAGCGCACATTTAAAAAACAAGCAAAAAGAAGAGGCCGCCTGGCAGGAAACAATCATTAGATAATATGAGCCTTCGAGGGGAGGCAGCTGCAGACGTTGGACTGTCCGGATCCAAAAGCGGCCTGCGGGGATGAAAGCGTTGCTGAACACATTTCATAACATAAAGCATCTCCACAAGGACCAAGCCCCTTCCACATTATCTAGGAATGCAGAATAAACATTGGTTTGAAATAATTCCATTTTAAATGGTTTAAACATATTATTTCTGTTGAAATGACCTCATACAAAGTGAGCAAACCACCAATACAATGGTCCCAATGAGGACAAGTGGATTTAAAATCATTTTACCTGGTTTAGTAACTTTATTTGAATTCATGTTTCAAACCCGAGTGAACATGGACAGCAAGGCCAAAGCCACAAAAAGGAGACGACTGCCAAAAGAGAGGTGAAACATATTAGAGGTACCCGTCTTTCTTTCACATTCGGGGCTTCACTAGAGAGTGGCGATACGAATCAAGCACACGTACAGTTGTCAAAATATTTAGAGATGCAGTCGGTGTATGTGGAGGCCAAAGTGGGAGGTCTCTCCGATTGCTTCTGCCAGTCACGTTCCAGATTTTGTACCCTTGAGTTATTTTGATGGCGTCGGTGCTTAGTACAATTATATACAGCGGAGAGTCTCGTAAAAAACGAGAGCGATAAACAAAATGTGTGCAGCGTGAACCTCAATGGAGCCGTCACGACATGGTGTTGAGCTTCAGCAGCCGACTAGCACAAGTCTCGGTGTAAACTTGAGTTTTGCAATCTTGATCCTTGGGGGGGGGGGGTTTGCAACGCTTCACAGAAATGTTAGATAATAAAAGTGGAAGCAGCAGGTCCTCAAACACTACGACTGTTTGGGAGAGATTAAGAATGATTCCGTAGACTTACATTCATTCACAGGAAAAAAAAAAGACCACCTTGTGGCTTCAAGTGAAATTACAAATTACAATACATCCATGTCTGTCTTTAATGAGATCATCCTTTTATCCTATTGTCATAATTAGCATATCACAGCGGCCTAATCATTTCAACAACAAAATCCCTCAACCATCAAAATGTTTGTTTTTTTTATACACAAGTTCACATCTGGACCACTGGTTGAACTAAACGCGTTAGGCTTGTTGCTACATGATGTGTGTAGACTCGTATTCTCAGCAGAGCTCAGGCGCCTTTTCTCCGTCCCAGACTGCCGCAGAGTAAGAGGCCCCCGAGGACCGCAGAGAAGCCAGGAAGTCAGATACACAAGACGTTCATACATTCCCCAACTTCCCTTATGGAAGCAATTATCATGATGCCCTCTATGGCAGCGGTGTGGGGAGGGAGGGTTATCACAGACATTAGGAAGTGACTGAGATCATCTGATTTGGTACTGGTGTAAGATTGGAGGCTGTTTAACACAACTGTTAAGGTCAGCGGACTAACAATCCACAATGACAATGTCAACCAGCCTCAGTCAAACGGGGTACACAGCTTAGCATTTTAGCATTTGCTGATCGCTCCAATCTCTGCATTCTGTTGAAATACAGTAAAATACTGTAAAATTACAGTAATTGATGTTTGTCCTGAAATGGCTAACAGTTAGTTAACAGTTTCCGGGCCGGGACCCGGATTGATGAGTGCACGTGTGAAACAAACACATACACACCTACACCGCACCAGGGATGGTGGAATGTCCGCTCTGTAGATATCAGCGGGAACGACCATCAGATACCACCACTGGCCAAGGTCTGTTTTAAGTTCCCAGGAAGCTCAGGGGCAGTCACACAAAACAAAATCACCTCACACCACAGCTGAGAGCGAATAAACAGACCCGTCTGTCTGCGTGTTGTTGTATCTGCAGTCTGGGTTCAGCCGCCGGTGTCACCTAACAAGGTCGAACCGCTTAGCATTGGGTTTCGGTCAAGGGGACTCCAATTCATCTTGAGAAAAGGTGCACAAAACGTATTTGAATCCATCCAATTATTGTTGAAACATCTCATTCACAACAACACGAGTAATCAAAGGTTTACAGTAGAAATGCGGGTTCAATGGCATATGTCGGAGTTTGGCCAAATGCTCTCTCCAAACATAAAGACATGAAGGAAGAGATTCGACCTGAGAGTGTAAAAGTATCTTGCACTTAACTCTTTGGGTAATAGCAATACTGCCGCCTGTCATATAAGTTGTGTCTGGTTCTGAAATGATGACAGACATTCCTTTTAAGACCGCTCAGTCGCTCTGCGAGACATCCGCTCGTTCAGCCGGTGAGATTCCTGCCCGGTGAGACAGACAGCCGGCCGGGCCAACGGCTCCATCCACTCAGTTATGGACGTGTTTACCGGGAGGAAAGTGTCAGGTACTGACACGAAGAGGCAAACATCAGCCACCGCTGCATTCCCTGAACATTAACCGAGCTCGTCCGTGACAGGAAGGAATGCAGAGGCTTCACACGACGTCAGGCTGGAGGCACAAGTAGAGAGTTGGAGAAGAACCGCTCCTACTCCCGGTGTTGTCAACAAGCGCATTCAGGAATGACAGCACCAGAGAGAAATGCAAACATAAGTCCAAATAATAACTATTTACTCCTCCGGCCCGTCGCCCTGACCTTCCGTCGAATGTGTCCATCCAGCTACGGTCACCTACTTCCCTCTGCTTCATCAACCTCGATCGATCCCCGTGGAGGTGAAATAAATGCCCCAATAGCTTATAGGTCCACGGGGTTACAAAATGTATTTATGTTCAAAGATTTGGCTCCCACAAAACAGGGGAGAAATGATAGCAGGGCTAATGTCAAAGATTTCTGTAAAGCATCTTAAGATAGGAATAAGAAGGATTTTATTGTTGTGTTTAGAACATTTGTAGACCTCCGAGTAGAGCTTCAATAATTCTTAGAGGAACAATCAAACTGAAGTGACAGACTGGTCCAAACTGTAGTATTCCAATGGCCCACTGTGGAATTATTGAGGAGTTTGCTTAAAATAACTGCAGGATACATTGCTGGTGTTCCAAACGATGCCCTGATCCCATATCCTCCCAGATCATTTTGAAAACTAAGAGTAGCCATCCGGTGGGTTGACTGGTCTTTTGGACTCGAGGGATTCTCAAACACAAATTTTCACCCAGCCAAGATGATGTTCAACAAACTTTAACTTGTGTGAATTCAGGTAAAAGCAGGAACCATCCAGGCCGACACGCACAACATAGTATGCTCCACCAGCCTTAACCGCCCCCCTCAGCTCTATTTAGGGCTTTGGTTTATGGAGGCAGACCCTCCCAGTTAACGGTAGTCCTCGAGACCACTCCGCATAGTGACACACAAACCTGCACATCAAGGCCAACAGGGATGCCAAAGGCCAAACATTAAACATAAGGTAAGCTTGTGATTTCGGTAGGTTTTGTCACAAATTCAACATAGAAGAACTGTGAAAATATACATGGTTGAGTCTGTAAGCTTGTCAGGGATGGCTGTGTGTCGTAGAAAGATTAGTGTGACATTGTGAGGAGAGTTGTTGTGCAAAAACGATTAATTATTAAGTAGAATTTTGCCATTTTATTCCTGTTATTTCACATTGATCCCCGAGAATTCTTTTATATCTCCAAAGAGAAGGTTCCCGCCAGAAGATTTCCCGCATTTTTTCCCCCCCGCGCCGCCCCCCCCCCCACACAAGCAATGCTGTGGCAGCGTCCCAGTGCTCAGTTAAGGTCTTCCCTTTACATAAGAACATCCCGAGGTACCTTGCGTGCCAGCGCGCTTCCTGCGCCTGAGAGCGGCGCTCTTTCCAGTGAAGATGGCGTTTACTCTCCACTTCCAGATGTGCTGGCTGCCCTCATCCGACACCCCGCAGCGAGGCTCCGCCATCTGCTTCAGGGTGACGCTGTCGAGCTCACCTGTGACGGGAAGCTGGGAAAGCCACTGGAACTCACTGCAGAGGAGGACGACATGTTTGCATACGATTCACTCCTTGTTCTTAATGCCTCTGAACAAAGAATATGGGAATTTTCTTTAATGTAACGTGGGGTCAACATTGTCAGCTTTTTTTTAAAACACATTTTACAACCAAAAGAAAGCCTTTAAATGAGTTTGGGTTATTGTACAGTAGGTATGTAGGCCAGAGGGAGAGGTTCTCGGCATTCCTGGGTGGTTCATAAAGGGTTCAGGAGGGGGTCCCGGTGCAGAGGTGTGGGTGTGTTTTACTGCCCCTGCAGTGGCGTTCAGCTCCGGGGGCTCTTTCCCCCCCGGACTCACCCTTCCCCCTGAGTTAATGTCATTTAAGGACCTCCGGTGACGGGAAAGGAAGAAAGATTTAACAGGTTCACCACCTACCAGATAGCTGACTGCATCTCATCTGCACTGTGGATGTGGTTGTCCTGGTGGAGGTAGCCATACCTTTCAAGAAAAACCTGCAACAGTTGATGTAAAACTTGTTAACACCACTTGCGAATATTCCCCAGTCACACTTTGTCTCTCAGAAAAACCCCTCCTCAGGAGGTAAAGGAATAAATCATAAATGTGTACAGATCATTTTCCGTTTATGCTGTAGGTTCATGCAGGGCGGAGATGTGGACCACCCATAAGAGACAAACCCCTGAGGTGTCCCAGAATGTAGTTATTTTTTTCTCAGGCATTTCATGGAAATAATGAGTATACTTTAGCGGCTACATAATAGCGTGAAAAACGTGACAGTGTTTCGACGTGGTTAAGATAAAGATATTGGATTGTTTAACATCACAATCTCTCGTCTGGATGTAGGAGGTGTCTTGTTCAGACAACAGCAGGCGCAGCTGTGATTACAGATGTGGTGAAGGTGGGATAGACATTAAAAATGACAAACCGGTAAACAGGAATGTTCAAAAATGTCCCTTTGTCCCATTAGAGGTAAGGAAGCATGCCAGAAGGGGTTTTATGTGAAGCAACATTCAGGTTGGGGAAACACATGTAATAACTTGACATGCTCCGACAGCTTAAGGATGACAAAGACAGCAGGCAGATAAAACGAGTGCGTTTCAAACCACAGTAAAGGCAACTCAAGGGTAAGAATACAAGATTTGAGCTCAAACAGACAATGTTGCACGTCCCGTCACCAAATGATGCACATTAACGGCTATTGGAGACAGTAAACATGCAACACTTGGCAGGATCTATTTAACTGCTTGATAAAATGTTTGAGAAGTTAGACATCCATGGTGTCCTTTCTAATCCTAGTTTATTTTTTAAACGAAGATTGGCTTGATTTCTAATTACGTTGCCAACGACTTCTGCATCTAGAAACGTTTTAAACTGCCACCAACTGAATATAACGTTCACGTTTAATATTCTATGGTCCATCCAGAATACACATGGTTGTTAAAAATAAAACTTTAGCTTATATTTAAGGTTAGTCATACCGCAGGGGGATTTCAAACCAGTCTAGAGAGGCTTATTGGGACTGAAGTGTAATTGCAGTCATCTCCAACTAAGAACGTTCCATTTTCATAAAATTTTGAAATGTTTTTGAGAAGACTGCGTTTATATTTCTTGTCTCAACTACGCGCACTAATCATCGGGCTGTCAGTCTGTTTTCTTCAAGTAGTTCCGAGATAAAAAAAATAAAATGACGCCTCATATGCAGCGCGGTAACATTCCACGGAACACCATGAAGACGTAGACACTTGTACCCCGGCGTGGGAGACCAGCGGCGATCCTCCGGCGGTCCGCGCGCAGAGGAGCGCGCTCAGCGTCACGACCCACGCGGTCCTCATGTCCCGTCCGGCAGCGCACGGGTCCCGGGGTGTGCGGCTCATTGCGGGAGCACCACGTCGACACGCACCGGCTCACGCATTGCTTTTTCCCCTCTCGACCCCCCTCGGCTATGAACGCCTGGTACCCTTTGTTAGATATCCCGAGCTGTCGGTAACGGAGAGCAAGCTGCTGCTCGCCTGACGCCTCCGTCACCGCGGAGTGACGTAACGTGTCGAGGCACCGTAGTATTACAGGAGGAGGACACGCCCCCCTCGCTAGCTTTCCCCTGAGGGACTACATAGCTCACTCAAATTTTCCCATTTCTGACAGGATACGAGTATTTCATAATATGGGTATAAACTCACACAGCGCAGAGAAAAGATCAGTCTTTTAATGTCATTTTGAGGAATAAAATAAGAAAAAAAAAAAAAAAAACCCAAGTAAAACACGTAATCCGTTCATACAAAAACAAAGATACGAAGTCTACCTCACAATAACATCTGCAACTAGAATCGGAGAGGAAATTAAAAAGATGTACAAAGAAATGAAACAGAAGCAGAGGAAAAAAACTAAACATTTGACCACATGCCAATCAGCCTCAGAGTCCCTATACAGTAGCTCAACACAACCCCCCCCTCTTTCATGAGCTATAGTTGGGATGCACTGGCTACTAAAAGGGTGCACAAATCAGACTGTCTGATTGCCGGTACCTCCCCCTCCCCCCCAATTTTCCCTCCCTCAATCTATGGTGAACTCAGCGGCTGAGATGGTTTCCATCCACTCGACCCCTAGTATGGCCGTTCTCTTCTGTCGTCTCTACGGTCGCCTCTGTAGAGAGAAAAGTCAGTGAATGTTTGAGAAATAATATGCACTCATGTCATCAAATTAACAGTCATCTGAACAAAGGGAGTAAAACGTTTAATAAGTATTCGGAATTCCGCGAGGATTGGATTTTAGTGCCAGTCAGCATTCCTACAACTTCAAATTAAACTTCTATTTCAAGGGAGGCATTGTTAGTATACAATTAACCATGAAGACTGGTGTACAGTAACACAGTATGTAGTGTGAAATCTGACTGGACTACTGCCTCAGGTTCTATTTATTAATCTGAAGCAGAAGGCGCCTCCTTGTGGTCATATCATCAAACTACATATATAAAGACAATAACAGTTGCAACACAAATGTACACAATAGAAAAGTCAAAGGAAACTGACCTTGCACCCATTTTATATCCCCCTCCACCAAAGCCGCCTCCTCCTCCGTAGCCTCCACGGTCTCCACCACGGAAGCCCCCACGACCTCTGAAGCCACCACCTCCTCTGTCGCCGCCATAACCGCCTCTTCCTCCACGGTCTGCGAGCAGCGTGACAAGAATGTGGTCAACAAAACATGACATTGAAAATCGAACAAAGTCCTACATGGGGATAATCAGGGGACTGACAAACTTCTTGGCCCTCACCTCCTCCTGCGTCTCCTGGTTTCGGAGTGCCACACTTGTTACACTCTTGCCGCCGTGCAAAATTCATGTTGCCACAAGAGCTGCGAACAGGAATCAGAAAAACATTTTATAAATAAAAATTCTGCCTTACAACGGACTTCTGATGAATTTAATACCAGTCAACGTAGATAGAAGGCACACAAACCTGTTGGGACAGGGCCAGTCGCCTCCCTTTATGTCAAAGCTCGGTCCTCCGCCACCGCCGCGAGCTCTGAAACCTGAAAGATAAATGTGATTGTTTCAATTCAAAAATAAATATTTCACCATTTGAGCCGTGGATCAGCTTGGTTAACACCCACCTCCTCGCCCCCCTCTTCCACCTCCACTCGCACCTCCTCTCTGCGTGAACTCAGCTCTCCGGGTAGCAAAAGATACTTTGATGGGCTTGCCGTTGAACTCTTTTCCTGATTTGCGAAAACATTTCAGTTAGGGGCACCGGCTGTATGAGTCATTAGTAAAGAGACATTAAGAGCTGCGACTGTGGTCTTACCATCAAACCAGTCAATAGCAGCTTTGGCGGAGGGCGGATCATCAAATGACACCGTGCATTCTCCCTTTGGCCGACCGGTGCCCTTGTCAGTGTAGATGTTGATCATTAGCAGGCCAGTTTTCTTGTTTACCTATTAACATTTTAGATCAAAAGATAGAGGATTATGTGACACTCTTTAGGGGGTATACCTCAAATACATGTTCATGCGTGTGATGCACAGGATTAAGTGTTACAATTTATCATTTATAGATTGCATGAATAATAGTGTGCGTAATGTGCATAAAAACAGAAATGTCACATTCAAGTAAGACGTGGGAAAAAAACATTCACGGTCCAATCAGGCCTGCAGCCATCCTGCACGTTTGTTTAATTGACAATAGGGACTGATTGAATACCTTTATAATACCAATCTGCTTAAAGTAATCGCCGATTTCTTGAACTGTGGCTTCTTCTGCCAGTCCCTGAACAAAAATGGTGTTGTTGTCAGAGTTGTCCGTGTCACCAGCTGGGGAAGAGATGGAAAGAGGAAGGTGATTATACGCTAGGCATTAAATGGAAAATAGCCAACACTGACTTAATTTATTGTAATTCTACCACTTAAAATAAGTTGAACTGATGGCAAACAGTTCAGTTTATGACCAACTATATCTGATCAACCAATGTGAAGGACATTGACACAAACCGTGCTCATTCTTACCTGGTTCATCCCTTGAGTCGAAGTCACGAGAGCCTGTAAAACAAAGGAGAGGGTGGAAGAGAAAACTTGAGCACCAAATTTAAACGTGTTGCACAGTGACACAAATAAATTACCATCCCCATCAATGCATAATAAAGAATTTAACAATGTCCATGTTTACAGCTCTCTGATGGGTGTTTTCATACCGTTGCATCACATACCAACACCGTGCAACAAGAACAGAATTGTTCAGTTTTTTTTTTTTCGGGGGAGGGGGGCTTACACCAGAAATGAAAACAACCAAAAAAAAGTCTCCGGTATGAGAATGTTTCTCCTTCTTCGTCCTGGGGACACCTCTCATTTACTACCAGCCCCCGTCTTCATGCAACAATACTATTTTAAAACTCAGGCTCCATGTTGTTTACCACATCTGAAGTCTTTGAGGGGAAACCCTGCTAAGAGGTCGAGTTCCTCGGAATCTGGACATGAAAATGGTGGCATTCACAGAGTTTTTTTTTTTAACCCGCCCCCTTTTTCCTAAGTCAAGTTCTTTCCTCCCCCACCGACACAGTTCTGATGCTCGTCACTTACCACCGTAATTTTTGTAGCCACCACGGTCACCACCTCTGCAGAGGAAAAATTGGAGATATGATGGATTTTTCCTTTGTCCCAACTGAGAGCTCAAAGCTCCCCTACATCCCATCAGTATGCACGCCTGCCAGGGTGTGCGACTATGGTGGAAATGTCTCACACGAGGAATGCGTTAGTCTTAGACATTTAGAGAGCAATTAATAGACGACTAAGCAACGGATTGGACTAGTGAAGACAATACTCACATCTGGATCGCCATTTACAATGAATTTGGAAGTTTTTACATGACCGGAATAGATGCCAAGAGCCAGAAAACCAGCATTTTTTGTTTTTACATGAGAAAGCCAAATTAGTGTTAATGGGAATAGCAACTAATGAGCAATCTTCCACTGAGTGCATTTATGAGATCCTTTAACTGAGGTCCAAGTTTTAGTTCAATCACTCTGAACACCTGTAGTATAAAATGTAGATCCACGTTAACACAACACACATGTTCTCCATTGTAATATATACACAACACTTAAATGAAACCTGTTCAATGTCAAGCGTCTGAAGCGGTCTCCCCCCGTCTACGAGCATGGTTGCCATTTTTCTAAAAGCTATTCCGCTCGTCAACGCACAAGGATCTCCAAAATTGTGTTTCTGCCGATTGATAAATTATAGCTGGAGGAATACATGAAAAATTGGAAGGCCGCCAAATATATATATCTCATACAGGTATGAAAATAACATGTTTATATTTTGCCTTCACACACACATGCAGGGGTGGGGGGGGGGGCACCATGCCAAGAATCTCTGTTCCAAACTGAGTATTACTTTTGGAGGTCCTTAAATTGGGAAAGGGAGTATCATTATATGCAGAGTGCGGAGAACAAGTCCATAGGAGAACAAGTTCACATGATGGACAATGGGCTGCCGTATTCGGTTTAGGTTAGAGCTCTAAAATAGTTTTGATGAGCAAATATTTCACTTGAGCTTACACAGCCTCTAAAGAAACAAGCCATTTTTCTGGTGGATGAAAAATTGTGGCCCAAATCCTCAAAATTTCTGCGATTTGATCTGGTGCAAAATGAATGAGAACTTTCAATGGGAATTCACTAAATGGATGGAGTTTAGGCTTTATTTACCATACTCAGACATAATTTTGCAAATAAGACAAGCAATGAGACGACTAAATCTGTGGTTAGTGAGTTAAATATGAAAAAAAAAAAATCATGCCAAAAGATGATCCGTGAAATAAGTGACCGAAAACAAAATGAATGGAAATTAGTCATTAAAAAGTATCATGCACAAGCTGCATCCAACACTAACCACTGGCTACCAAAACTAGCAGACTGTTTCATTGGGCTACTGTGTGCTGGTTAACTGAAAGAGAAAAACGTGTTTACCCAGTAATGTAACATTTACGTTAAAGCACGTTAGTTATCTGGCTCAGACTTTACGTTACTAGAGCCTTCATTATATGTAAAAAAAACAACAAAAAAAACAGGTTCAATCCCATTTAAAGGGATGCTGACCAATTAGCTGTACATTTTTATGGCTGTACTGCGGAATTTCAAATTATGGAGTGCATTGTTAGAATTCACTTTTATGTGACCCTGCCCCCCCCCCCCTAATAAGTTCCTCCAGTAAATTTCCTATCTTAATTTCCCTTGGACTTTTACAGTTTAAACCCTATTTGGGAAGACATGTTTAGCCCCTTTACTTGAGACCCAGAATATAACTAGTCAATTGTCAGTATGTTGAAGAACTAAATAACCACCTAATATGTGATTAACACCAGCATGTCTCTTTTGTAAAACCTTTAGGTAAAAAAAAAAAAAAAAAGATTGGAAGATTCAGGCTTAGCACACAATGAACAGGAGTGGTTAAGGTAGTAGCAATGCTGTGTGTGACAACTTGGATGACTCCAGTTTAAAACGAAGAATGCCTAAGTTAGGGGATCTGGAGCACCAAGAAAATGAGTGGCGAGTTGTCTAATGGGGTGTTTTTTTAGTTGACGAGTAATGACATGTTGAGCGACAGTCAAGTATCATATTTCACAGTGTAGGGAGGTACCTTGGGGGCAGTGGCACTATGCAACTTACCCCATACCAGGAGGTCCTCCGCCACGGTCGTATCCACCGCTGCGGTCATATCCCCCACTGCGGTCATAGCTACCGCGGTCATAGCCACCACGGCCTCGGCCTCTGAAGCCCCCTCCTTCGGAGCGATCACCGCGGTCTCGTCCAAAACTCCCACCCTGACCACCGTCGTCACCTGGTGAACAGAAAGATTCATTGAATGATCACATACTGAAACCTGAAAAGACAGTTTTACAAAAACACACGCATGGTCTACATTTATTCAGCCATCAGCTCTTTCTACCTTCACTCCATCGCCCGTAGCTGGCGCCGCCACCCCCTCGTGGCCCCTGGGCACCGTAGGAGTTTTGCGTTCCAAAGCTGTCTGCTCCTGGAACCTGGGTACCATAGGCACCTGGAGGCCCTGGAGGAGCGGCCGGCTTGTCGCTATACCTTGATGGGGTTTCAGAAAAAAATAATAAATAAGTAATAGTACAACAGACACCAAGAAATGTGGCTGTTAGGACGAAATCACAGCATCATGAAAAGGTCTCTGAACAATGTGATATTAGTGTCTCACCCAGCTGGAGCCTGTCCGTAATTATCATAGCTCGGTGGCTGAGACTGCCCATAAGCATCTGTCGAGAGAAGTCACATCTAAATGCTTTCAAACAATGCACAATGCACAGATTTTCTACTGAAGTTCTGAGAGTGTATGCTGAGGTGTGAAGTGCGTATATTAAAAATCGCATGATATACCTTGAGTTGCTGCTATACCTTGTGTTGCTGCGGCTGGCTGTCCATACCCACTGTAACTCTGCCCGCCGTAAGAGCCACTGCCATTTCCTTGTCCATAACCCTGCACAGCAGAAAGTCCATTTAAAATAAAAGGAGTAAAAAGCAAACAAACATCGATAGAATCGTTAGTGAACTTGGGGACAAGTCTCACCTGTCCACTCTGCTGACCTCCATATGACCCGTAGCTGCAAACAGAAATAAAAAAAAGCTGTTAAATCCCGATCTGGAATCAAAAAATATTTTTACTGTCTTATGCGTGATTTGACCGCGAATGTGCATGTATGCAATGCTCGTTTTAAGTGAGCTCAAACGTACCTCTGCGAGCCACCGTAGCCTGAATCTGAAAGTAAAGCAAAAACATCGGTTAATTAACGTTAAAACTTTGCGTTACGTATCGTTGTAAAAGCGTCGCCGGCCTACAGACCTACGTTGTAGAGCTACACAGTAACATATTGAAATGAGTAACGTTATGTCGATGATGCAGGGTAGACATGAGATGATAAAGTAATCACGGCGGTTATGTTATAACGTTACACCAACAGGCCTGTCACCACGCCAATCCAGTAAAAAAAAAATGGCGGTCAAATGTGGTTCAGGCTCTGGCTAATACTTGAAACGCGATAAAACCAAATATTGGACAATCCAATTAATCCGAGGAAGTTTACATTAAACCAAATGATTATGTACTAAATGACCACATTTCCCCAAAGCTGCACTCGCCCGTGTGTTGAATGCTTACCGGCTAGCAGTGAAACAACAGCACCGGTATAAACAAAGACGCGTTCACGCTCAGTAGCACAAACAGCGCTAGCTTAAGCTAACTAGCGACGACAAGGCCCCGCTCAGGAAGTGGGATTGCCCGATCATGTTAGTCATCATAAAGAAGAACCATGGGTTAATTTAAGTTACATGTGATTGAAAATCAAAGCACCGTACTGAGAACAAGAAACGTGTACTTGAACTGGTAAGCTAATTTTGGCGTGCTATCGAAATATGGTCATTTTCCCCATGAGATAGACGGGGCCCTTTTTCTGGCCTCGCGGTCATCCGACAATGTAGCTCCGATGCTTTCCGACTTACTTTTAATTATCTAGCTATACCGGTCGTTAAAACATACGTTGACTTACCAGTGGCCATTCTGTGACGTTGTATATTTAGTTAAAAAATTGCAATGAAATATGTTTTTCTGATTAGTTGCTAAAAACCCTGGTTGACATCTACGCAGCGCCACAGAATTGATCTGCACACTGCAACACTTCCCCCTTAAGCAGCTTCTTCTTCCCCTGTTTGTGCAGACTGCTCGTATTTAAAGCTACACACAAGTACCGCCGCCTACAGTTGAAAGGCAGCAATGCACCGCGGCCCAGAAATGCAGTTTGGGTATTTTTCACTAGGTGTCAGCCCCACATTTAACAATGATTGCACAATTACTTTGACTCAATGACCATTTAATTGAATCATTAGGAATATTACTTCCACCTGTGTTGCTCTTGCTATGAGCGGTGTCTTCGACACTCATATTGTGCTGCAAAGCCTCTTTATGGCCTCTGGCAAGATTCACTCCTATAAGACTTAATTAGCAGTCTTATTTAGGCCTCATTCGATTATTTTCTTGGAATTTGCACTTTCAAAATCAAACAGTAAAACTGTCCAGTCAGTTTGGATAACCAAGCCGCTGTTATCCAAGCCTACGTTTTCACTAACAAATTGTATAATAACTTCCTGCACAAGCCCACGGTACAAATAAGAGGTTGGTTTTATTCAGATAACCTAAGCATTTAGTCCATTCCACGTCTTAAAAGATGCAGTCGTTGGTAACGTTAAGTCAAGCATTACAACTTCATGCAAACCAATTCACTGCAACTTTATTGTATTGTTGAGATGGAGCTGTCTGACAACAAATGGCTAAAGAGGGTTATATATATATATATATAATTATATATATATATATATAATTATATATATATATATATATATAACATCTCTATCTATATATTCATGAAGTCTAAACGTATCACATAAAAGTCATTGACACAGCACATTATTCAAATTTTATTCATTACAAAATGAATGCCTTGCTAAATTGAAATTATTAGACTATGAGGAATAATGACCGACTTTAACGATGGAAGCACAAAGGAAAGCAAAACACTGTGTTAGGATGACAGCAAAGCATCAGTTTAATTGAAAATACATAAGGCACAGGGTGCACTTAAACGGGTTGGTTGTACTCGTCAAACGTCCCATATTCACAATAAAAAAAAACTGGCTGCCAGATGCAATGAGACACATGTCGTAGTATTGATATGTCGGGTCATCTTCATGTAATTGGGCATATGTGACAAAAAAAAAAATATATATACAGATACTAGTGGAGCAGAGGTGGTTGTCATGTGTCCTAGCGTTGCTGCCACAATCCCCTTACGTGGTCCTCTGCATATCAAATAAATAGCCAACATTTTGGGAGGCTAGATGTGCTCTGAAGCACAACATATCAAATTAAAATGTAATAGTACATGGTACAGACATTCATTTATCAGATTTAAATGCCAGCTATTTGGGGAAATATAAAACATAATCACATTAATAGATCTGTAAAATGATGCATCACTGTTTCTAACCATTCAAAAAGGTTACCGCTCCTGATAAAATTAACAGAAAGCCATGCATAACAGGCCACATCTCTTGTCAAAAGATAAATGCATACTTGTTATATTTCAATTCATACACGTTGTCTGGAAGATTGGTCTAAAATATTACAAGATCTGAGAGACTGAAGTTAGCACCCTTCCTACTGCCACACAAAACTCTGCATATTCACTTAGACATTCGCATGATCCAATATTATTTTCTACCTCTAGAATTGGGAATCAATTAGATGGAAGTTACAAATATCGCAAGATGACAAACTGAATGAGATCTCTACATATTTCAGTGTAAATCGTGTTGCATGGATCCAGAGTTGGGTTGAAGCGAGTCCCCGTTGCCCGCCGACTTGTCATCAGCTGCTTGTGAAGTTATAAAGCTGCTAAAAAATAAAAACAAAAATAAAAATAGAATAAAATCTGAAATGAGGACTACTCTTCGCCGCAAACGGGGGTAACCGTTGTTGGGTGTGACACCACCACGGGGTCTCGTCAAGACTCCAGTGCACGCAGGCCGGTGGTCCAGTACCTTTACCAAATACAGATTGAATTTGCTGAGTGTGTTTCATCAACAAAACATGCTGAGGTAGTGTTTGCCTTAAAATCTTCTGCTACCTGTAGCTCTTGTGAACCAGGGAGATGAACACGCGCGTAATGTTTATATATTCCATAAAACAACGCACGACAAAAATAAAAAAAATGTAAAAGGCTCGCTTAGAGTAGCGAGGCTGCGGCTAAGTCTAAAGCTCTTTAACTCCAGACGTCTTGTGAGTAGCGTCCCTTGGTCATCAGTTTCTTGATGTAATCGGTGGCCTGTGTGAGAGTCAGGCCTCCGAGTTCCTCTCCTATCTCATAGAGGGCCGTCTGCACATCATGAGCCATCTTCTTTGCATCGCTGAAATCAAGAAAGCGACAATATGTGTTAACATAACTCTGCATTTGCTTTACCCCCAGTATGCATTCCACTTAAGTACTTAATATCAAATGGTCACAAACGATCAGTGAAACAAAATGTAACTACTTAATTTATTATTATTTTACAACTTCAAATATTTGTTTGAAAGTTTGGGCTTTTGTAGGATGTTATGTTACCCGCAGACGTAGATATGAGCATTGTCAGAGTGGATCAGCTTCCAGATGTGCTCCTTATTGGCCTTCAGGAGATGCTGTACGTACAACTTTATTTTGGGAAAAAAAAGGAAAAAGTTTTAAGTAAAATAAGTAAAAAAAGGTGTATCAACACAAACACAGATGCATTATATACAGTAAATTGTATTCTTCAGTAGTCTGGCTGTCTTAAGGTTAGCTTTTCACTTATATTACAATATAATAAAGATATCCCTAGAAAAAGAGTAAATAAAAAACTAATGCCAAGAGTGAAATTAAACTAAGTGTAGTGATGTGGAGAGAATAACTTTATATTTAAAAATATTTGAGAACCTGGATCATTTAGTAATAAATTTAAATATTTTATTACTATTATATTAACATGATAAAAAATAATAATTAAATATGAAAGTCATTGTCAATACCTGTACATTGCAAAACATCTTTACATTTGTAATCTTTGCATTTGTAATCAAATTAATTATTTTACAGGTGTTATTTGTATCATATCAGACACAGGCTGCACCCTGCTGACGCACCTTTTGCTCCTGGTCTCTGGAGAAGGCCACGTTGAGCTGTGTCAGAACCCCAGTCTTCTCTGCGTCCTCCAGCTCCTCCTGGTAGATGTAATCCTCCTTCTTGTGTCTGCAGCCGAAATACATCACCGTCTCGCCAACATCCTTTCCTACAACATTAAACAAAAAGAGGTTGTTTTATGTGTGCCATTTATTTCATTCAGGCTCCAAAACAAGTGATTCTGAGAATGGAATGAACTCACATTTATGATGATTTATAAGCATTCTCACTATCTAAAACCAATAGTATTCTCTCTTAATTTAAACAGACCTAACAGCCGAGTAACGGCTATTAATGTACTGATTAATTGTGTTTATTAACCGTACCCTTAAATGCTGGTTTAATAAAGTAGATAATTTTTTTAATTTCTTTTTACAATGTCTTCATAGGCTGTGTAGTAAAAGGACAGAAACAACGCAAACACACGTTGAGGTCTTTGTCCTCGTTGTGAAAAGGTCAGACAAACAACAACGACACTCAAACACAAACACAACCTTGTTGTTTGAGCCAGGCCCGCTCTTGGATGAAGCCCATGAAGGGGGCGATTCCCGTGCCAGGGCCGATCATGATCACCGGGTTGGTGGCTTTGAAGGGCAGGCGGAACTGGGACTTGCGGATGAACATGGGAACGGTGGACTTGCGGCCGTTGTCAGAGACCAGTTTGTTCTTCAGCCAGTTGGTGGCGACTCCCTTGTTGGTACGGCCGGTCGGGGTCTCGTACTCCACCACCACGGCGCAGACGTGGATGCTGTTGGGGTGAACCTGCAGAACGCGGCAGAGTTTACAAACGGCCCCCTGCTTCTTTTCCTACATCCAAGTAAAACGTTTGTGCGTCTCTGCGGCTGGCGTCCATGTTCTGCCTGTCGTAGTGCGAATTACCTTTGAGGAGGAGGCGATGGAATAATAGCGCGCCTGGAGACGAGGCAGCAGCTCACACAGGTGGTCCACCGGAGGCCTCAGAGAAGGCATATCCTCCAGGATAGCCAGGATGTTTCTACTGGCGCCCAACACCCAACTGTGGTAGAGAGCCTGAAGAGACACGGCAACAGAAACGCAACAACGTGACGCGGAAGACGTGGAAAAGGGTCGGCGAGATGCAACTGCAGATGGGTTTCCATTAACTGAAACACGGTTTGTGAAATATACGTTTCCAGCTGGCACTGACCTTGCCCTCAGGTGAGGAGGAGGCCATCTTGCGCATGTTCTCCTGGTCTTTGGGGTCGGAGGCGTACTGGGCCAGCTCGTAGAGGACGTTGGTGCGAGGGGAGTTGGTGATGTCCAGGTAGTGGGTGAGGGCGGTGCGGTAGGTGGTCGGGCAGGGGAAAGGGTGCTTCTTGTTGGACTCCTCTGAAGAATAAATAACCCGATTCGGTTTATTGTTACACCAAATGTCCCTCATGTATTTTAGACTAGGAGTTAGGGTTACTGTGTGTACAAAGTCATTTATCATTTAGCTCTTGCTGTAGATGTCATGTTTAATAATGTTAATAAGCACTGATCAGGAGCCTCATCACGTTTCAATTATGCCTCTAAAGTACATTTGAGAACCTTCATGACGACAGGAAATTAATTTAATCTGTAACAAAAGTAAACACCTCATAAAAACAGCAATAACTCTTATTACTGCCGTAATATAACTTCACAGGATGCATCTGCTGTGGGTATCAGGGGAGGATTTCGTTTTCAGGGCCGAGCTCATAAGTCAGCGTGCGTCAGGCCTTCAATGCCATACCATCAAGGTTGTTAAGGGAGATAACGGCATCAAGGTCCACGCCAAGGACTTGGCCCAGCTTGTTCACCAACGCAGAGTCATTTGTGGGGAAGACGGCAACGTGGTCTCCTGACTCGTATCTGGAATCACAGCAGGTGGCAAATTCAGACTTTGACCCAGTATGCATGAAATTAATTATGAGCTTTATAGATTTTTTTTTCTCCCATTGGGTCAAACGGTGTCATAGACACATCCAAATATCTTCACCTGATCTTGGAGCCTGTTATGTCTAGTTCCAGGTGCATGAGATGTCTATCGCCTGCTTTGTTCAGTTTGCGGTTGACGGTGACCGACGCCAGGAATGGATTCTTTGAATCGAAGGGCCTGTAAATTAAACCGCAACACGTAAATATAAAAATGCACTTTTAAGCACAGAGATCACGAGAGATGTAACGTCAAAGAAGAATCACTCTAAATAAATAAGGTTTTATTCAAAAAGGGCTGTGTAAATATGTTTCCAGTGTCCACCAGGGGGCACAAAGCTTCATTCCTTTGACAGTGAACTCTGGTAAACTTGTAATCACATGTGGTCTAAATGTGAGCAATGATTGCACACACAGGACATGATGAATAAGTTCTCTAGAGAAGTACTTACGGCTTTTGAACCTCGAAGCTCTTCAGGCGCCCGATCTCCCCCGTGTACACTTTGTTCATGTTGATGTCGGTGTGCTCCTTCAGCTCGTACTGACGAATGCTGAGGGGGAAAATAACGAGTTTAAGGGTCTTAAACTTAAAACTGCACACATATGTACCGAAAACAGATTAATTTCTAATAGAATAAAAAATAAAAAGACCTAAATATGCCATTTTTAGAATGCTCTAGAATGAAGCATGCCCACTTAAAAAAAAAAAAAAGGACGAAAAAGACATTTGAAAAGGATTCTTGGCATTTGTTGATTTGACATACAGGAGGGTGGGGTTGATCATAAATCAAACAAGTCCCGTTTTAGCGTGACGTAGTCAGTCTTAAAGATATGGACGTTTGAAAAAGAACAAAAGTACAATGTTAAGCATGCACACGTGACGCTGATGTGTTTGAGTAGCATTTGATAATCCAGGTCATTTCAAAGATTACAGTCTATGGTTAAAGTAACACATTAATTAGCATTCACGTGATTGCAAAGGTGTCATACAAATGTCATCATCCATTTAATGTTCCTGAGCAAACAAAGAGCCAATAAATAAAAGACAATGAAAAACAAGACAAAATGTCATGAGTTAAAAAGAACTAAAAAAACTTGAAAGGATGAAAGATAAAAACTGAAAAAAACTGAAAAAATCTGAATTAACCTTGAATCATCACCCAAGGCTTCAACTCCAAAGTGCTCACAGACGGCCGGCCAGAACTGCTCCCTCCATGAAACAAAGTCCTCCTCCAGACTGAAAGACACAACCTGGCCAGTCAGCAGACTATGACATCTAAACACAACTTATTCAATAATTAGACTTCTTCTCTACAACATTAACATGCACTCAATAAGGAACAGATTTTTCCAACTTTTCAAATGGATTTCAAAGTTATGATTCAATAATTACTCTTCACAAAAGAAGGGAACGTGCTGGTTTGGCCGCCTACCGCGTCCACATCTAGTTATCGGTGCTGCACCAAAAAAAACACCTTTACACTCAAATGTTTAACCACCGGTTCCTTTTCGGCACTTACTTGCCATCATCGTCTCCGAGGCCGAGGTCGAAAATGCGCTTAGCCCCGAGTTCTTCCAGCCTTTTGTCAACGTATTTTCCCATCGCGTTGTAGTGTTCATACGTCTTGTTGCCCAAAGCAAACACCTGGAGACAGAAGTGCACAGAGACAAACCATCACTGTGGGCTTTCAATAGACTCAAAGCACGCAGGCAGCGAAAATAAAAGTAGATTGGGAAATTGAAGGGTTCACATGAACATTGTGACATTTAAAAACAAAAAGAATTGAACAGTCTATTTTTTTTTTTTTTTTTTAGTGGTCAGGCACTTAGCACAGAATGAAAACAACGTGGCACACTCAACGATGTCCGACTAGGGACCCTTAAAAAAGGTCTCACGCAGACCGGGGACAATAGAGAAAATACAGGAGGAAGGACGCGACTGTGCCAAGAAATTCCCACGGGGAAGTTCTTCCCTAGAATGAGACCAGAGGCGCTTTTCCCCCCCCGGACGAGGACACAATGACACACACTCAGACGGCAGGAAGAGCTGCTGCAAAGCCGAAGCTAATGGGAATCCGAATAAACGTACACAGACGGAGCAGCCACACAGCGCACAAAGCCCTTCCTTTTGTGGGGAGACACAAAGGCCGACCCAGCGAATGTGATGCATGTCAGTGAGGCACACTGACATAGCGTGACTCACAAAAAGATATCAAAAGAAATTATTTGCAGTTTTTCTTCTTTTTTTTTTTTTAAAATGAAGGTTTGTACATTTTTGTAGTGCATGGGGTTTGGTAGTGGTCCACGTACGCCAAGAGTTATTGTGAGTCTCGTAAAGACATTGTTTTAAAAATCGACTCACTGTGTAGGTCAGTCCGGAGAGATCCTCGTCATCGTTTTCCTGCAGCCAGTCGTAGAAGTCCTGGGCGTTGTCCGTCGGGTCTCCTTCGCCGTAGGTGGCCATGCAAAATATGGCGAGGGAGTTTTTAACTTCGGCGAGACGGGCCAGCTCCCCCTGGAACGCCGAGAGACACGATGAGCAGAGATAGGCAGCAACGGAGAACTCGACATTGGAGGAAGTTTGTCTTGGACGCTCGACCGGCGGCCTCCAGAGCGTCAGAAAACAAACATGAGACTGCCAGTTCGCTCCGAGCATCGTTATTGTTTACGAACCATAAAAGGTCATAATTTCTTCACTGAATAACAACTGTCTGATTTCATTATCACAAGTAGACATTCGATCCACGCATGTGCAAACTGAACGATTTCTTGGCCAAAGTAACACAAAATCCTTTGTAAAATCCTAAAGATCGAGGGACGATCTTTCGAGCGTGATGCCAATTACCATTTCATACTCCTCTGGATCGGCGGCCATTCCCTTCATGCCGTAGCGCTGAGCGTCTTTGGACAGTCTGTTGGCAAACTCCTCTCCTGTGCCCGTCTGGGAGCCGTAGAACACGATGATGTTCTTGCCCTGGTAACCAAAGAAACACGTGCTCACGTAAAAGCCTTCTCAGTAAAAACAGCACAGCCTTCTCTGCTGTCAGGTGATGAAACACAAACCAAGTGCCAACAGGACATGCAGAATATGTGTGGTAAATCACCTAAATGTATATTATGAGAGGATTTTTAGCACAACCAACACACTGTGTAAAGTCTAAATAACATGATTTGAGCTTTATGTACACAAAGACCTTCCTCTAACGCGCATCTTATCACAATCAAGCTTAAGGGGTGTATAAGATCCCTGACATACGAGCACAGCCTACAGTGCTGCTGTGATCGTTCACAACGGTGGAGTCAAGTTCTTTTCTGCCTCCGTCATGCTATCTGAACTATTTGCGGCAAAACCACATGATTCAAAAACAGTTTTTTCTCGAGGGTGGCTTGTAAAACTGTTTCTAAAAGTATAACTGCCCCTAATGTTATCGCATTATCAGGGGAGAGCATCATATTCATCAAATGAATTATCATAATCGTATTCTATGTCCACTGAGCAGGTCAAGTAAATTTCCTAAATCAAGTGAGGTTGATCAACCCCCGGGTCAACACTAATGTGCGTTTTCAAGTCCAAAGAGATCACTGACTTATTCTAAAACCCCTGAGTAATGTTTTGGGACATTAGCAACAAACATAGAAAAAATAGGTCTTTAGACGGAGACAATTGAATGTGATGGGGAAGGACACCACTCACCGTTTTCTTCATCTTCTCGATAAAACTGGTCTCTCTTGCGGCGGGTGCTCTAGGAGGGGAGGGTGGGAGAAAAACAGGTTTCACTTGTGATTAAGCAATATTTAGGCTGAATAAACACAAGGACACGGTGATTAAAAATAACTTTCTTTAATCAGGTTTCATCGGTTGCTGGAGGATGGAAAAAGTTCTACTCCGTCGAGTACGGAGGTCCGTTTTGTAAACATTTCCCAATAATATCAAGACAAATGCAAAGAACCGGTAGTCTGACTAAATGTGGAGCACCGACTCTTATGCAGTGTGGACTTGTTTAGTCGCTGTTAGTGTTGTAGGGAGCAGCGAGTCTGCAGGCCTCCAAGCATTGGTCAAACTCATCTAGTAAGCACAGCAGTGAGCTTCAGAACACGCATTTCCATATCAAAAAGTAGAAAGTGGCGGATGCCTCCCTGCCACCGGATGGAAATTCAAAATCTTGAAACGGATTCATCTGGGGAGAAACGAACGGACGGGAACAGATCAAAACGACGCGTGCAAAGGGACGCAGGGAGAGAAATCCATTATCGAGCTTAATAAAAGGCGACGCCGCTTCATTCAGCATCAAAGGTCCAGATGCAATCCTGTCTGCAGGGGAAAAGCAATAATATGACTGCATGCAACTACGAGCGGAGGGAGAGTCGTGATTACGTTTTTAGATTTTCCACATTTGAAAGCAACAAAACGGTGAAAGAGCCATAAAAGCTGCGAGAAACGGACAATAAATGTGCTAAATAAATGCTGCGCTGGTCTGTTCTGTGGAAGGGTTCTTAAGGTTGTGAATGCACTTAATGTGTTTCAGGGGCCGGAATGAGGTCCAGCACACCCATCAGATCCCTGTTTACAATGTAAAATAGCCTCCTCACCCCCCACGAAACCAGATGACACCTTCAGCCTGATCCGATCAGTCTGAGTATCATAAGACCAATGGCCAGCCACTCATTTCAATGATAGTCTCTGGTGACTAATCATTAACATTGTTATCATTCCCACAACATTTAAATAGTTACTTTATTTAATGTCGTCTTTTAGTCTTAAAAGGGAAAGGAATTCAGGAAAAGGTGCAGTCAATCAATACTACTTTGAAACAACCTTATTTTAAGCAGTTTAACAGTTGGCTTTGCATATGGTTTTGATGTCAGGAAATGAAGTCGGCTCTGATCACATGCACATTGCGCCGTAATCCCGAACATGAAAACCGCTAACTCATTAGTGGTTTTCGTTCTTATACAGTTCAGAGGCCATCGTCTGTATATACGGTCAGAAAACAAACCTTCCATTTGTTCATCAGCCACTAAACCTTTTCAAACGAGCCCACTGGGGAAAGTCGCTCTCGGTCTGCAAGCTGTCAGACGTGGAGGCGATCTCACTACAACCAACGACATGTCGTCTTTCCTTTTGCAGACTGACCCGGCACAGCGAAACCAGCCTGACGACTTGGAACACAATGCAACTGACTGCCCGCTGTTTGAGGAGCTTGTGGAAAAGGAGGAGGGGGGGCAAAAGACCCTATAATCATATTACGCTTGTTAAAACAGATTTGATGAGCGTCTCTTGCATAACTCCCTGGGAACACGATGTGTGTGTGTGTGTGTGTGTGTGGGGTTTTTAAACACTACCTAGAAACAAGCGAATTACACTGTGCACAGGTTTGGAAACAAGCCACTAGTTGCACACGCAATCAAAAAGGTTAAGCGGTTTCATAAAAAAAAAACAACGTAAATGCCCTCAAAGTAAACTAAGAATAAAACAATAGCTGGAGGCAAACGTCGAGGCGTTGTCGTCTTACTGTGCTGTCGCAGCAGTGGATCAAACGCTTTACTGACCTCTCGGCAGCATCTCTCCTGTCCTCTGGCAGGGAGAAGACGCAGCCCATGGCATGGGCAAGGCCGCGCCGGCAACCGCCACGCTCAAAGCCAAACGCAGGACGTCGACACTCCAAAATACCAATTAAAAGAAAAGAATTAAAAAAAAAAAAAAAAAGGAAACTCAGAAAGGCGGCCGGACACTCGCAGGATTCGGAAGAGCTGCCTGCCGCCACCCTCGGACGCTCCGACACAATCTGAACTCTGTGAAGCCTCTTCCTGTGCTGCTCCCTCAAACCAGCAGCGTCTGTTGCGCGCACACACATACGGATGCACACACACACACACACACACACACGCACACGCACACGCACACGCACACGCACACGCACGCACAGCCTAGGAGCCCCGTCAGTGTCTGGCAACCGCTGCGGACACAATGGTGGGAAACTGACTTTCCCCATAAAATGTATCTGAGCTGCAGACGCACACTTTTGACTCACACAAACACACAATGAAACACTCTGGGGTGGAAAATGCCCCCCCCTCTAGTCCCCTCCCCTCCGGTCTTAAAGGTGTTGGGAACGCAAAAGTCTACGAGAACCTTTCTGAGCATTTGGCTGGTTATAACTCCTCGGTGGACCATTGAAGGAGGGGGAGTGGGTGTGTGTGTGTGTGTGTGTGTGGTGTCGGGGGGGGAGCTGTGAATGGTAGATTTTCTGAAGTATCCCCCGCCCCTGTCTCACTGGAGGAGAATGTCATTGCTATGGCAACCTAATTTATCATAAAAGGATTCTATTTGTGACATGGCCTTTCTCCAATGGCAGAGTAGCTCAGCCCCCCCCCACACACACACACACGGACGCACATGAAAAGGAAAACAGGGGAGTGGGGAATGAAAAATAAGAAAAAAAGCAACTCTGGGGCAAAGAAAGGGTTGCTTGTCTTTTACCTCAACTTTCCACCTCCGAGGAGGACTCACAAAAGCAGCTTGGCTCGCTCTCCTCGCTCGCCCCCCCAGGGAACTTTCAAAATGGGTTCGGGGGCCAAAAAAACAAAAGCACAGGAAAGACACTGAAGACTACGCCCCCCTCCATAACAGTTAGGTAATCACTGCCCCCTCTAAGGGGAGGGGAGACCAGCTCCACGTTGTCCCGTATTCCCGCCTTCAGCAGATGCACAGAACGTGCTCTACAGGAGCCAGTCCAACCCCCTCCAACCCCACCCCCCCGTTAGCGTAAACCTTCTGTTTCCACACAAATTGTCAGGATCTCCCCCACTTGGCCAACAACACGGTCTCCAGTCACGTCTCCACGCGAGAGCTCAGCCGCACGGAGAGTGATGCTTGTGGGTGGGGAGGGACTTAAAGAAGCGGCCGGAGGAAGGAGGGTCCGCTGAAACGAGGCCACGCCGCCGTCCCTCTGACGAGTGATGAGTAAGCCTGTTGCTATTTTTACAGAAGCGCCCGATTGTTTGAGTTGTTTTTCAAAAATAACATACGGCGGCGTAAAGATGGAAGACAGACAACGTTACGGTGACGTAGGTAGAAATAATAAAATGAGTCCGGGAGCTCACTCACCATGCATATTGGTAAATAAATGTTTTGCAACTTCTAAACTCTGAATACGGCCGCGAGACAAGAACGCCGTTATCTCTGCGCTCACCGCCTGGAGCCCAAACCTCCACAAAAGACGTGTGCCATGGAGAACTCGTTCTCTACCATCCCATCCTCACCCAGGAGGTGGGGCAGGTTCTGGTTCAGGCCTTTGTCGCCGTGCACCCGAGCTACTGCAACTCACTCCCGCGTCACGAGTCTGCATGCGTGCAACCTGGTCTTCAACCCTCCCAAGTTCTCAGATACTACTTCAGCCCCCCAGCACCCAGCGAATGCTTGTATCCGATTGGACACCCTGGTACTTGTGTAATTGGGGTGTGAATGACATCCAGGGCACGGGGCCCCTCCACTGCGCTGTGCCCGCCGGCCTCACTGCCCGGAGGCCCTCGGCTCTACAAAGTCACGACTGTCTGCCGTCCCGGCGCCAAAACAGCGCAACGGTCCCCATTGAGACCAGAACAGCAAACGGGCTACAAAAAAAAACATGTGTCCCCCTGCCTCCCGGCCAAAGTGTGCGTTGAAGATAAAACACACAGAAAGAAGTGCAAAACACGGTTCAATTGTTGATGCGAAATTACGTGTGTGATTTAGCGTCAACTAATATGCCACAGAGGAAGGGAGCAAGGAACCGCACGAGAGGGAGATCAGGTAAGTTCAGTAACAGAGACGTGGATAAAGTGCAGGACACAGAGCTTAACAAAGGTCACTTCTAGTGGAACATTTACAAACATCCAGCCGTGCCCTCTCACACACTCGCCTCAGGGTCCATATGGGGTCAATTAGACCCAGTGGGAATAAAGGATGATATTTAAACAAGAATCTAACAGCTGTAGAGTTTAGCCAAACCGATGTTTTGCCAGGTAGAGGAGCCGGGATCAACAAAAGTCACGAAAATTAGCAACAGATTTTGTTGTTGTATTCATCTAGAATTATAATATAATAAAAATAGTCCATGAATAAAAAACAAGAATTGATCAAACTCATAACCAATATACAGAACAGCAAATCTGTTAAAACAAAACAAAACATCCTTCCCTTTACATCCACGGGTTTAAACTAATTTCTTTACCTTACGGAGACAGATTTTTTTATTTACTTTTCACGTCGCAATCCAAGGCACACAGCGATGGATACTCACGGTGTGTCGATCTTCTTGAATTCGGGGATGGGCTCGGGCTTCTTGCGGGACATGAAGCAGTAAACGACGATGCCAATGACCACGGTGAAGAGGAGGAGGTCCAGGGGGCTGAAAAAAGGCTCATCTTCACCAGCCATGGGATCCGTGCGGCCGGTGGTCTCGGCGTCCATGTCCGACATGCTGACACTCTACGTGGGGGACAAGAAAGAAAAGACACAGACCAACATGCAAGAGTTGAATCGAGCGAGAAGGTTTTGTCAATTTGACACAAATTTCTTAAATTAAGCAATAATTTCAATATTTGAAAGAGCAAATATTCTCCACCTGCAGCATAAAAGTTTGTATAATAAATTCTCTGGGGACAGATGGACATATTATTGGAAATACTACCAGTCATTATCATTAATAGAAAAATAAGTATTATGGTATAATATAGTCGACAGTCTCTGTTAAAAAGAAATTCTAACTGGGGCGTAGGGGATTCTACATGCCATCCCCTACAATGGAGGCGTTTGTCCAATAAGGAACGCACAATCGGCTCAATGAATACAACAACATCTCAACCCGCTGCACCACAGCCACTCACTCTACACAAAGAGCCCCAAAAAGCACACAGTGTTCAGGGATCTCGAGTTTCAACTTTGTTCAAGGAGGGAAAACAATGGCGCTCGCGGCTCCTCGGCCTCCTGTGGGCCCGGCTCGGTCTGCAGCCGGAGGAACGTTTGATGGGATGCAGCCGTGACCTCAGGACACACTCGATAAAAGCGTATGCCTGCTCGCTGTTTGACTTTGGACTTGATATTTTAGGCAAACCCCTTTAACTGTGACGCAAGGAGGTGCCGAGTAGGTACAGAAGTTAATCCGATAACGGTTTGTGATAGTATTGTCAGATTACCAGAATTTAAAAGCTGAATACTAATAGATGTATAAAAGATAGATAACAACACACTGGGTGATGTTCATATTGCTTTGCATAAATACATAAAATATTTGGATTAATATCACTTAAATTTGGTTATCAAACTGAGACCAGGATATGTACCGTGGGAAACATTTGGAAGTTTTCAAATAAAGAGCGCTGAGTCCGCGCTAAAAGGTCTGGCTACAGACATTAACATCCCGCATTAGAAATGGGAAGAAAAAGTAAAGACTGCATCTTTTTTGTATTTCTCTGAACAGATTGCCATCAAGATTTCGGAGTGCTGTGAGTATTGGACAGTGGCCAGTCCAGCGTAGAGGCATTTGACGTACAACAAGTGTCCGCAGCTGTAATCAAACAAGGAACAGAACCCTTAACCATGTGTGGTGAATTTGAATCACTTCATTGCATTACACTGAAAAAGGTGCATTTTGTCCACCGCAAGTATATTATACAATATGTCAAGTCCTGATCCTTTGGGAGTCAAGGGAACGCCTGCAAACACATGCAAAACACACAAAGAATGCAGAGACATTATTAAACAGCATCATTGTCTCCTGTCTGTTGAGTCAATTAGCAGCCCAAACCGGAATGGTCAAAGAGTACCGGGTGCGCAAGAGTTCATCCCAACCTTTCACCTCGCCTGCTTCGACAAATAATTATGTAACAGCCTCAAGGCACGCAAGAGGGGAACCGGTTTTACGTATAGCACGAGTAAAAGCGACACGTGTAATCAGTGCGATTCCCTTTTAATTGAGTTGTAGAAATTAACGATGCCGTTTAATGTAAAAACGAGGCAAGTTAGGAGGATAAACCAGCAGTAGAGTGACCCCGGTGGCCCTGACTACTGCCTGGTTCGTGACAACACCGACGGAAAACGTATATCCTGAAAAAGATTGGCGATAAACGCGGAGACGAAGGAGTGTCGTCTGAAGCACGATATTTGCAGAGGTTGTGTGTATTTTTTAATCTAAGAAAAAACGAAAGTTGTTCAGCACAGTTTGCGTAAGGAGGAGTCAGCGCTTCTCTCTCTAGATGCGGTTCCACTGACAAACACGAACAGCTGTTTAAGTTTCGGTGTTAATCTACTCACGTCGGCGTGTGACTGCCAGAGACTAAAACCGACGGAAATCCACTACGATTTGTGAGTTGGCTGCAGCTCTTACCTTCTCTTGCCTCTCCTCTTTGACTCCGGTACACACTGTGTTCACCGCGGAAGGAAAGTTTCCGCCATGTAGGATCAAACCAACTCCACCCTGGCAGCGGGGGTGGACTCCGGCGAGTTCAACCTCAAATACTCAAAGAATTCAGAGGGGTTTATGTTTGCGTTGATACGCTGCAGGTGTCCGTCCTTTAAGAAATACTGCTTCATCCCGATTGTCCGCCTGGATAAATTGCCTTTATTTATCAAAGTCATCGCACTCGTTTTTCAAAATGGACTGTTCCTCAATGTCATTACCCAACATCGGCGAGCGAACATGACGTAGCTTTAATCAATAGTGCTAGAAGCAAAAGTTACGCATTCATGGGCGCAGCGGGCCGTGGGTCATGGTTGTGTAATTCTACCATGAACCATGACAGACTGACTGAGACGCAGGTTTCCTGCTCTAGTAAAGGGACGTTTCTTTACAGTTTTATACCTGCACACTGATGCTGGAAGACGTATTCAGATTATTTAACTAAAAAAACAACTCTGAAAAATAACTTCAGGACTATTAACTCCCGAAGTACTTAAATTAATTCATTTGGAAGCAACTGTGTACTGTAGTATTTGTACAATTTTGAAGCATTTGAACTTGACTCTTAACTGTGTGTACATATAGACTTATTGTAGTTATTCTCACTTATATACAATGCGATTTAAATTAATTACTTTCCATATCAATTTAAGACAATACATTGTACACTGTACAGTATTTACTTCACTTGGACTAAAGAAATGCAGAAAATTACCAGGCATTATTTTTCTATGTTTAGATGATATTAGTGATTGTTCAGTTTAGTTCAATTGTTCATCTTCTCATTTATGTGGTATATTTCAGAGGGAAATGTTTAAAGCTTTACAGCACTCCATCTGTTCAATAGTTACTTTTCACAGATTGATATTTTAAATACTAAATCAGTTGATAAGATACATTTTTTTTATTATTACATAAGTGACCCTGTACAAGTACATTAAAGTACTGAGTACATAATAATGCGTCAATATTAAAAATACAATAGTATCCAGTAATACAACACTGACAGGGAGAATTATACCAAATTACTTGTTTTACTTTTGAAAGGTAAAGTACCGACTGTCGCTAAGATTACTGCACTTGGTCTATTTACTGCGGTATAGTTAAAGCCGTGGTAAAGTTCATTTGACTTTAGTATATTAACTTCAAAATATTTCTTTAATCACTGCCTGTCAGCATTATACCATATTGTATTATTATTAGCATTCGTTTAGATTCCATGGCAGTTGAATACAAACAATCCAATTTTATTAAATCGTCACAGGTTTTATACAATGTACAAAATAATTATTTATTGCTTTCAGATAAATGTTATGAAGAAAGATATAGAGTATTTTCGCCTGTAATTTAATGGGTTAAAAGTGCCAAGTAAGACAAAAAGGAAATAAGTATTGTACAAGTTCAACACAGAGAGAAAATACATGTCCAATGTTACAAAAGCAGGCAGAAAGAGATGCTCTCTGCAGGGAAACTCTTTACAACCGCATAAAAGGATTGAAAGAAAGGACTAAGGGCTTTTAATCAAACATATTCAGAAAAATACACAGCCTTTGTATTAAGAAACAGATGCACGGAGGCTGGTAAATACTGTGTTGGACAGTACTTTTATGCCTTCTCCATCTTACATGAGTCATTTTACTATTAAAACAAAGGAAATGTATTTTGAAGCATAACTCAGCTTTTAACATTGATTGATTGGACACAAAATGTTGTTTTTACATGTTGTACGTGTATGTTTTTATAATGATGGCCAAGCCAAGCCTTACAATAAGTGGGTTGCTTAATAGCATAGCTTTTGAAGTTAATGACAACAAGAGTGATAATGTGAGCTCCTAATTTGGCAAGTAGAGACGTAACAGTATTTTACAGAGACGTCGTTATTGTTGTTTGTCGTGTTGGCAGGCAATCACAGGCTCTTTGGTTTGCGATTCCTGCTCTTGACCTTGTGACGGACAACAGCAACAGTGGTGAAGAAGTTTCCCATGAACAGAACGAGGAAGCAGAGTCCGCACATCCAGACCTGGTATCACAAATAACATGGAGAACAATGAGAAAACATTATAGCTTTCACTCATTATCGTTTTCTTATAAATGCACGGGATCAGTTGGGCTTTCAATTTAATTTAATAGCCATTCTAATGTTACACTATGCTCTCAGTATCTTTGATTGTAAAGTGCTTAGTCATGCATTTAATCAGATAATGAGTAAGCAGGGTAGTTCATAAATAGTCATATGCAAGCAGGTAAAGGGTGAAATTGTGAAACGTGTGAGCGCACTGACCTGCCATTCTTTACAGTCTGGGAGTCGAGACATGCTGAAGAGAGAAATGCTATTGAAGAGCTGCCAGAACTACGAGACAAAAGAGGAGGACTTCAGAATGTCAGTGTTTGTAAAAAGTCAATGCATATACATACGTTGCAGGTGTGCAAACAGGGACACAAAAAGTGCAGAGTCATATCAAGTCGAGATTAACATCAGCGCTTTTGAACAGTTTTTCAGTCATGCAGTCCAAACCGTGACGAAGGGGGATTTTTAAGCTGCACTTGGGGGAATTTCTCAAGTTCTACTGTGAATCAGAATCTACTCACATGACCAAAGAACAGGAAGGGCAACAGAAAAGTCAGCCCTTTCCACATCCACGACTGAAATCCCTCTAAAAAACAGAACAAAAGCAAATTGTAATGCTTGTTCTTTTACTTCCACTTCGGTTTACTACACCAGTGATAATGAGAAAGTGTCTTTGTCTCTCAGAGATTAAAAAAAAAATCAATGCTAAAATATTTAATTAAGATGTGCAGGCCGAGTGCGTGTGTATTCTGTGTCCTTGGCGTGTATCTCACCCACGGTCAGGTCCATGTTGTGTCTTTCTCCCAGCGCTCGGAGCCTGTACAGACATCCGCTCTGATAATAGCACTGCAGACACTGAACCAAATCTGTGAGTTGCAGATGAAAGAAACACGTGTCAGGCTTTAAAATTTGGTTTCAAAAAGTTTGAACCACGGATGCTTTTGAAGTATTTCTGCCTTACTTTGATACAAGGAGTAGGCGAGGAACTGGTTTCTGAATGTCTTGTACAGGTCACCATCTGGCCTTGTAGGTGTGATTATAGGAAGAAAATGCAATTAATTGGATGTGTTTTTTTCTGACGGCAACAAAGAGATGTGTGGATAAGACTTGATTAATTGTATTTGTTGAGTGGGTTAAGTTAGAGTGTCATTGTTTCTTGATCTGATTTTAATCTCCCTCTACTCACCATGTCAACATTACACCGGACAGAAAGGCTGAGATGTAGTGATGGAAAACCCACCATCCTTTGATTCTACGATGCAGGACACATGTGAATTAGATTTGATGTTTTACACACAAATAATGACAAAATGCCTTTAATAATGTACAAAACAGGATGTTTTATGAGAAATTTGTCATTATTTTGGTAGGGGGGTTAAAAGGGTTAACCTGGAGCCGTTTGCGATGAGGATACTTTCCCTGATTGTCAATGTACAATAGTACCACACAAGTAGGAAATTGAGGATTGCATCAAGAAATCTAAAACCAGGAAATATAGAGCAAAGGTCTGCATTAAGACACACAATAAAGACGTGTTCTTTCAATAAACCATTGTGGCTGACGGGGCTGGAGCAGCTGTGATGTGACATATCTTACCTGTAGTTTGTAAAGAAGTAACATATGAAGGAGAACAGCAGCAGGATAACTGTGAGGCAAAGCTTAAACTTCTCGTATTCATCTTTGTAGGAAAATCTGACAAGGACATGATGATACAGTCAATAAACAGTACAATGATTTAGCCATTAAATGTTTGATTGAGGAAAAGATGTTAATTTAAAGCCATTATTTCCGTTCTATTTTACTGTTGATAGTCACTGCTTACTTTGACTGCTTGCTGAGAAGAGTCACATTCACATTTCCAAGAACTAGATTGAGGTACAACCTATTAAATAAAGCAATATTATAACATGTCTTATTCATATAGTGTCATTTTTGATCAACTTTTATTATGAAATAGAATTCATCACCCGTTTTTATTGGGGAGGAAAGCTTCCATCTCAAAGAAAGAATTTGGTCGCGTCTTTATTTTCTCATTTATTTCTTCCAAGGTCTTGGCATCTTCCTCTAATGATCCTTTGCTACATCTGATGGATGTTGTAAGCGCATAACAGTGTGTTATTGTTGAACTGACAGGGGTCTACTTTGTGCATAATCTGCATAAAGTTGTGTGTGTGTAAACTTACTTTTTCACGAGGTGGGACACCTCCTTCAGTTTGCTGCGCTGACTTGAAATGGTGGAAGAGCAGTTTTTTTGTAGTTTGGATATTTCTTCCAATTTCAGTCTGTACAGTCTGTGTGTCTCCTGAATGGGAATAACATCGGGTTACAATCAAGAGCCAAAGAAAAATGTAGATTACAAACAGCCGCATTTAAGCATTTTAAAAGATTTTTGGCCGATGCTTACCAGAAGTTGTTGATACTCTTCTTCCAGACATTTCCACTCCTCCAGAACGACTCCTAAACCTTGAGGCATTTTGTGAACGTTTAATCTTTCATACGACACTGAGAGTGGACCAAGACACACTGAAAATAATGTCTTGCACAAAATGCCATGCTGAAATGTGGCTCTTCAGGGTGTGTATCGAATCCCAGTGGAGTGTTTATTGCATTAAGTGAACTTTGACTGCTACGAATGTGCAAGATTTTGACTTGGACATTGTTCTATGGAACTTCTCCAGTTATTACATCGTTCAGTTATTACTCATAGCGGCAGAGATGATATGTGGTTGTCAACTATATTACAACTATAACCATAAGTCTTGTAATAAAGGTCTGTATTTTTACCATCGCAATGGTTGAACCAGCTTCCTGGTAATTACGCTGTGCTTTGTCCATGTCTTTTTTTGCTTCTTTCATGTTGTGCTTTTCAGGTACGCCGCTGTATGTTAGCAGCCCCTGGTGGATGAAAGGAACAAGTCAACGCTAGACTCACTTTAATATGGAGTTTGGAGTCGAGGAGTAATCTTTTGACTTTTGTAGTTTGATGGAATAAATAAACTATAATGTCTTTTTTAAATAGTTTTGTTTCCATAGTTTATTGTGAAAATACTTTCCCCCCGACAGATAATAGACTAAATCCATAGTCTTCACACAAGGTGGAGACAAATAAAACACAAATTATATGAAATTAAACACCGTAGCAAGAAACTAAATAGAATATAATATGCATATGATTATCATAAATATTACTGGTCGTATATGCATTTGTTTACCTATGACGTTCCATCACATATACTAATTAAAGAAAAATAAATAGTAGTTTTGTCAGAGATGTAGTTATGACACTGCATACATACTATTGGTAATCATGTTATGTTCTAAAAATAGAATAATGTTCTAAAATAGCTACAACATTTCCCTTTAAAAATATTCATCAAGAAATGCTGCATGTTGAAATCCCCAGCCTGTACAGAGATGTATTCATGACATTGCATACTTATGAATCACTGGCATCTCCCGCGGCATATAAAAACATGCCGTTTGCTAAAGAGCGCAGTGCCATACAGACCATCTGTGGGATGGTGAAAGCAGGGCTTCGCACTGTTCGGTGCTGAAATTTGGGACCCAGCAGTCTGCACAAATAACGGACTCCATCTCCAGTAAATCTATACCTCTCATGCAGGTACTCGTCGGGAAAAGCTAACGGTTCCGATCTGCCCCCGAAACACCCTCTCACGTCTGAAAGCACGTCTCAATATCAATGCTTCTTCATCCAAAACGTAGTTCAGAAATGGGCATCATGGTGCACGAAGAAACACAGGTGAATGGGACTTTATATATCAACCTTTTTTGTTTGATGGAACGTGTGATGGGAGGCTTTGAATAATGAAAAATATTTGTCCCTAACTAATCTTGTTCTAATCTTGCTCTTAAGAATACAACTATTAACAATATAGGTTAGGCTACAGTTAAGAATTAGTTGAATGCCATTGTAATCAAAATGTCAATCAACCTACCTTGGTCAAATCTCAAACACAGCTCAAGTCTACAAGTCATGATCAGATGACCCTGAATGAGAATAAGTTCAGGTATTGCACATCTTGAGCATGCCACCCAAAAATCCACTAGAGTGCAGGAAATAATATCTACTTAAACCCAAACGTCCTGTTGGTGGACCTTTAGCTTTGACTTTGCTTCACAGAATGTAACCAATGTCGTCCATCTCCAGTAGGTCGCCCTATCAACAACTTGGGGCCCCACAAACCACCAGATTGCCGGGCACAACATGGGTACAACGCCAAAACAGTTCCAATTCCCTGATATTTGAGCCAATATTGGTGGCAGGCACACATGTTGGTCACCCCCGACAAAAACTCGCTCCAAGAAAAGAGGTATTCATTAGGTTTTATTATATACAAAGATATTTATTAATTTCACACACATACTACACACATTTTAGTCACATTCCTGCAATGTAGTTCCTCGCGTCCTCCTTCCTGTCAAAGAGAGAGCAATTATCAGGATTTAGTATCAGTGGATTTATATTGCATTCAGCCGCCCCGAAGACTCCCACGAAAGACATTTATGTAAGGGCGGGGGGGCGGACGATTGTTAGTGTGTGTATTTCTATATATTTATGTAAGGGAGGGGGGGCGGACGATTGTTGGTGTGTATGTATTTCTATATATTTATGTAAGGGCGGGGGGGCGGACGATTGTTAGTGTGTATGTATTTCTATATATTTATGTAGGGGAGTGGACGGATGATTGTTAGTGTGTATGTATTTCTATATATTTATGTAAGGGGG